AAGTTGGTTTCCACTAAAGTTGATAAAGTTCACACTGATTTCAATTGTCTTCCAAATTATCAACGATGACTGCAACGTTAACTTCACTTGCAACAACGGTTACTGATACATCCTTGAGAAAAGAAGTGGAAACACTCACTACGAAACTGGACTACCTCGAAAATCAAAGTCGACGAAACAACCTCTTGTTCCACGGTATACCGAAAGTTAAACAGCAAGAAACCTGAAAGATTGTGAAGACTGCGTGCGAGAAATTCTGAAAAACACCATGGAGATTGATACTGACGTGGTTATTGAAAGAGCTCATCGTGTTAACTGGGGTAAATCAATTATTGTCAAATTTCTGGATTTTAATGTAAAATCAGCTGTACTTGGCAAAACAAAACTCTTGAAAGACACTGGCTATTCGGTATCCGAGGACTTTTCCTATGCTGTCCGACAGAAACGCAAACACCTCAAAGTGCTGATGGATGACGCTAGAGAACGTGGTGAGAGGTGTCGGTTACGATTTGATAAACTTTTATTTGAAAACGGGAAAACTATCACATATGATCTGGAAACAAACTCCCCTGTACAGCTCGCCAAAACACAACCGCGTGCACATGCGCTGATCGAGAGGCGGGAAGACGACACACTGAACGATACTGCTGAGAGCTAGAAGGATGGCCGGGATCCGCGTGGATGTCTTTCGTTCATGTCATGGAATGTGCAAGGGTTGAGGAATAAACTTAATAACTCTAGCTTTGTCAGTTTTTGCGAAAATTATGATATATTTGCATATCTGGAAACCTGGAAAAGTTGTTCAACGGAAAACTTAGAAAGTTCGTTTGAACAGTACTCAGTGTATTTCAACAAGCGTGACTACAACAATAGAGGCGGCGTGGCTGTCTTAGTGAGGAAAACATTAACTAATGTGATAAAACACGTGGACACTTTATTTTGTGACTGTATATTTCTTGTGTTAGATTCAAGTTACATTGATGTTCAGAAGGATATTCTTTTGTGCTTTATTTACATTCACCCTGATAATAGCTCTTTGGTAACAGATACCCGATGACTCAGAGGTATTGATTAATATGTAGAGTACTGTTTACTAGAAATGCTAAGAGATTACCCAGACGTTCATGTTATGATGGCAGGAGACTTTAACGCACGAGTTGGTTTACTGCCTGACTATATATTATGTGATGACGATATTGATTACATTCCATGTTTACGTGACATGAACTATGAAAGTGAAGCCTTCTCAATTCAAAGGAAATCGAGAGACGCTTACGTTAATGACTTTGGAAAACAGCTTATCGCTTTCTGTTGCACATACGGTATTCACTTTCTAAATGGGCGTTTTACCAGCGATGCACAGGGATCATTCACGTGTTTTGCAAACACTGGGGCCAGCGTTGTCGACTATTTTGTTGCTTCAACTGATTTATTTTATTTACTATCAGACTTTACTGTTCAGACACGTACTGAATCAGACCATTTCCCAGTTACTTGTAGTCTTAAGTGTAGACCTAATGTGATAAAACCTGCAGATCAAACAGAAAAAAAGTATTTCGATACCGAAATATGTAAGGCGCCCTCAGAACGTTGAACTTTTTTATGTATCTTTGAAAGACAGATTACTTGAGATGCCAGTTGGAGATATATCTCAGTGTACAACCTCTTCTCAAAAAGCTGAACATTTGACATCTATAATTCAAGAGAGTGCTGAGGACAGTGGTATGGCTGTAAGCAACAGTAGTAACACTAACATTAGCAGGTGTGCTTCTTCGCTGTGGTTTGATGCAGAATGTGAAAATATGAAACGCTACAAATACAAACTGTTAGACATGTTTAGAATTAGTGGAGATATAGATACTTTAAAGAACTTTCATGTAGTCCGCAATAGATTCAGAGAAATATGCCGGCGAAAAAAGGATGTATTGGAAGAATCTGCTATTTTAAATATTCTTTTATGTAATGATAAGAGAAATTCAAAAACATTTTGGACCGATCTGAAATTTCACCTACGGAAGCCACCCGTAACAGCACCCAGTATTAGTGTTTCTCAGTGGATTAATAACTTTAAAACTGTTTTGAATATTACTGATAATGTAACTGATGTAGATTTTGTTACATTCTGCAAAGCTGTTATAACCGAGCATCCAGTTAATAGCATGAATTGTCATGTGTGTAACGATGAGGGTGTTGGCAGTTGGCTAAATCAAGATATAACGGCAAATGAGGTTTTAGAAGTCATAGATTCCCTCAAATGTGGTAAAGCAGCTGGTCCTGATGGTATTTTACCAGAGATGATAAAGTATGGCAGTGATGTTTTAATTCCACATCTTCTAGTTCTTTTTAACAACATTCTATGCAGAGGTAGTTTTCCAGATCAATGGTCTAAAAGTATTATCTTCCCTCTCCATAAGAAAGGTAATGTTCATGTTGTTAACAATTATAAAGGCATTTCCTTGATGGATATTTGTGGTTAGGTTTTTACCCAGGTTTTGAATAATAGATTAAAGCATTTTGTTAAGTTATATGATAAGCTCCCGGAATGTCAGACTGGCTTCCGAAAAGGATATTCCACAGTGGATAACATGTTTATTCTTCAATCATTAGTGCAGAAATATTTGTCTGAGTCAAAAGGAAGATTTTACTGTACGTTCATAGACTTTCAGAAAGCTTTCGACTCTATTAATAGGGATCTTCTTTGGTTTGTTCAGCATTCAAATGGAATTCATGGTAAAATATTAACTATCATACAGGACATTTATTCTAAAACCCTAGCTTGTGTTAAAATTTCAAAGAGTAGCATCTCAGATTATTTTAACAGTCTCAGTGGTGTACGACAAGGGTGCGTTTTAAGTCCTCTTTTGTTTTCGTTATTCCTAAACCAGTTGGAAGAGGACATCCAGCAGTGTGGTGGTAGAGGGATATTTGTACATGAGGATTTACTAGAATTGTTCCTTCTCTTCTATGCGGATGACATGTGTATTTTTGCAGATTCAGTTCTTGAACTACAGAAGAATATTGATTTTTTACACAAATTTTGTAACAAATGGGGTCTAAAAGTTAACATGGATAAAACTGATATCTTAGTTTTTCGTAATGGTGGTAAGTTAAGGAACTACGAGAAATGGGGCATATGCCTGTCAAGGTTTCTACATATTGCAGTTTTTGGGGTATTATATTTTCAAACAGGCTGTGTTGGTCGAGAACAGTTCAGACATTAGTTTTGAAAGCAAGTAAAGCTTTAATTCCTATAAAACAGCTCAGTTATAAACTTCGAAATATCGCTCCCAAAGTGTTGTTTAAAATGTTCGACTCTCAGATTTAACCTATTATTTTATATGGTTCAGAGATTTGGGAGGTTCATAAATGGTTGTTTCTCCAACGTTTCCAAGCAAAGTTTTGTAAATCTGTTTTGGGTATCGGTTCCAAATCCACAAATGTTGCAGTGCTCGGAGAATGTGGTCGATATGGTATTGATATTGATTCTTACACACGATGTTTAAGATACTGGTTTAAGCTTCTTAATATGTCTCAAGAGAGATTTCCAAAATGGTGTTACGATATGTTAGTTAGATTTGATGCCGTTGGTAGGAATACATGGGTTTCTGCTATTAAAAATATGTTACATTCTCATGGCTTCGGACATGTGTGGGAATTTCAAGGTGCTGGTGATCCTGAATATTTTATAAGTGAGTTTATACTGAGGGTTAAGGACTGTCATGCACAAACATGGTATTCTGAAGTGTCTGGATGCTCGAAATTAGAACTGTATTCATTATTTAAGACATCATTATCACTTGAACCGTATCTATTAAATGTATTATCAAAAGAAAAGCGACGTATGCTTACCCTTTTACGTATTGGAGAACTGGGAATTATGCATAACACAGGAGGGAGGGATGGCATCGATAAGACACTCCGTTTTTGTCCATCGTGCATGTTAAGGGCAGTTGAAAATGAAATTCATTTCATTCATGATTGCCCTATTTATGAAGATATTCGCTCAAAATATGTCCCATATTTAGACTTCATTACTGGTAATAATCGTAAAGACACACTGGTTAGAATGTTAAACTCTTCTGATGTAAACCGCCTTGAGAACTTAGCCAATTATGTTAAAAATGCTATCTGTCTTCGTTCTTCTTACCTGTAAATATTATTTCATGCAGCACTTGATGTGAAACTAAATTGTATATATCTGTACGTGGGCCTGGGGCCTTATTACCGAATAAACTGATTGATTGACAATTTACAAAGTTGACATTAGCGATTTCCACAGGAAATGGGTATCCTTCGTCCGCTTACCTAATTTCTGATGTGTAGTTCTAAATTGTGATAAAGGATAAAAATATGATAAATCATTGAAAAAAGCAATATATAGTTTCTTAACGGAGGTAAATTATAATAAGACCCTTTGGGACTTTCTTCAACATAGGGTAATATAAACATTACTGACTACATTTTAGACTGAGGTTTAAACGTCAAAATGCAAATGAAACACGTGAATTAAAGTTAAATTCAAAATGGCGGACACTTCCCTTTTGTGTTTTTGTCTGTCGACACTGTTTGCCACTTCCGAGACACCAGGTGTCTACAGGTACGTATGAATTGATTATTAATGATTATTTAATTCAACCTGAGGTTAAGTTTGTAGGTTTAATCAGATATAAGATCACATATTGTTACCCATGTCCATACATCTCAGCCAAGCTTGGCTGGTAGAGTTATCTGCAATGCGAATACGATGAGACACTACATCCCACATTCTTTCCTCGGGTTGTCATGACCTTATACCCCCAAACGGTCAGGATATGAAACATTTAACTAAGGGTTTAAGGGTTTCGTATTGTGTGAATATTAGCATAATCGCCGGTGTGGCTCAAAATCGAGCAATACGGTCTCCAAGTGTGTCACTGAAATCCGCAGATTACACGTCAGCTATTTCTATTATATAAAACGTTGAAATATTAATCTGAATGATATTGAATATGTTCACTTACCTTAACAGGTAACGCTCTTCCTTTGAGGATCTAAATCACAAGCACGCCGACTGAAATGTTTTTCCAAGAACTAGGAAGTCCTTTCGAGATAACAATCCCACCTTAATCATTCGTCATTGAATATTTCTCCGTGTACAATACGGACGGTGTCAGCTAGCGATAAGATGCGAACATCAACGGCCTCACCCATAACATGATACTAATCGCATCCCGATGTTGGGTGGCTGATTTGGCCTGTTGTATGTCAACGTGAGACAACCGATACTGTATCTCGAGTGTGCTAAAGATCACCTGTGACAAATATTTACCGCGCTGCGCGGCTATAACGCTCCAAATGAGAAGCACGCAGATTGTTGTTATCTGAAGTTTCACGGCTTGATTGTCGTTCCTACAAGGATTTAATACAAATATCCTATTTTTCCACAATTCTTTTCAGTTAAATCTCGTGGTATTGTTGAAAGGAAATATTGTCCTCTGGAATAGTTATTGAACTCCGATTTCGGCACGAAATTCTATTGCAGAACACAGCAAAAAAGTACTACAGTCTGCCTGAACATGCATTGTGTCTGCTCGATGACAAATTAAACATGCACTATTTTACTGCTGGGCAAATTTGCCACCGCTGATAAGGGTAAACCTGCAAAATAGGTCAAGTCGGCCAGGTGGGTTAAAGTCGCATTGATAAGCTTATGAAGTGTGGAAATCAACTGCTACCATGTATGGTATTTACGCGAAGAACAGACCAAACACAAATGGAAAGAGTTCCAGGAAACAGCAACTATTTTATTAACCCTGTGAGTGTCACCTCAAGTGCTAGATAGATGCTCCATACACGAAATGTGTTTTAAGTTTGCGTGACGGAAATAATCAATACATTTACATGCACCGCCACACAGAACACCCTTTCAGTTGATAGGCTGGAGTGATTTGTGGTTGATTTGTATCAACATTATTCGGTTGCCCATGTTACGTGCCCCTCTCATGTATACAGTTGGGGAATGTAATAAACATGATAATTATTTGTCGACGCCTATTGCTACATTCTGTTAGGTAATGTCGGAATGGACATTAGTGAAACATTATATAGCTACTGTTTCCACTACTATTACTTCATTTACAGGCCTTCAACAACCCATGCGTGTACGAGGCGACTAACGGGATCGGGTGGTCAAGCTCACTGGCTTGGTTCACGCATTTCAACGTATTCCAATAGCGTAGATCGATGCTTATTATGTCTATCACTTGAATGTCTTGTGCAGACTCGATTATTTACAGACCACCTCATATTGCCGGGAGTGGCGTTAAACAAAAAAAACAAAAAGAAATCAGTTATAGGTCAGAAAAATGTCGGTGTCTAATGTTTGTCGTAAATGCCGACTTAAATGGCAATCGGATGGCAAGCTCTATGACGTGGTTGATGGTTTGTCATCGTACCCGATGTGGATGTGTAAGTTGATGAACCACGCGTTTACTAGGTCAAGAGTCAGTACACCTTGATACAGCTGAGATATGAGCTGACTGTAGAAAATGTCGAAGCCCAACTGACAAAAAGTTTCTTTATAAGCCAACAAATCAGAAGGAACCTTTGCATATCGTACGAAGGTACTCTTACATACATGTCCAGTGAACCAGCCATATCTTACCTCGATAATATTTCAAAGGGATAGCCATACAGTTATGGGGTGGGTGGAAGCTGGGAAAACAGAACTTGTTTCCTCTGTCAGAGCTTCATAACATATCCCGATGCGAGGGGTTTGTGGGTGGGTGGGGTAGGGGGTGTGGGGGACATTTTGTTTAACGACAATACATTATCTTCCAGAACCATCAGCATGTCAAGTGAACATTTATGTATCTTATTTGTGGTACAAACTGACAGTAAATAACATTCTTAAATAATATATTATTCAACATATCAAATGGTCAGCCTCTAATATAAGTTCGTGATTGTAAGGCTTTGTAATATCATCCGCTGATATATTTATTCCACACACACCACTCACACACCATTTGTCAGTGATGACTGTCAACCATAGGCTGTCAACCATTACATAATCGGCGGCAGACGACATTTCCAAACATAACTGTTCACTACCGATTTTGCTATCACAAATTATAACCTACCTACATTGTAGGTCCCCGCATGGCCCGTCCACGTGTACACGGGGACACGAGTTGTATTTCATTAATCCCACGTAAAAATATACAGTGCACATTCTGGATAAACAAAACGTAAACAACGTAGAGTAGTTCCCCCTGAATAACCGATTTACCAAAATAGGAATTCGGGTCGAAGACTTTGAGACGAAACGAAATATGCAATGATCGAGTGATGGGTGGAGTTTTACAGCAATATTCCAGTAATATCACGGAGGGGAACACCAGAAATGGACAGGAATGGAAACGGAATCGAACCCGGCATTTTGTTGATTGTGCAGATTTGCTTTGTTTATAGTTGTGAGTACATCACAGGTTTAGAAGTTTATAGCAGTCCCGGCTGTCGTCATGTAGCGTGCACGTCACTAAAATATAGATACATACTTCAGCTCTTGAGCAGGTCTTCTCTTATTAAGGCGATAATACTGATATTATGAATTTGAAAATTATTGTTTCTTCGAGAAACGTTCACTTGCTTTCACACAGCTTTCGTCTATCAATTAATTGATACGTTATAAGCTATAGGTGTCGGTGCGCAGAGAAGAGAAAATATGTCTTAACAAAGGAGTTGTTTTGCCTTCTAACTTCTCATGCACATCCTTGTGAAATATAATATTATACATTTGGAATATTGTTTTGCGTGGTTGGTTGAAAAATAAGTGTTCGTGCTAATAACCGAATGTTTTGGGCACCTAAAAAAATATGTTTGTTGCGTTAAAAGGGCTGTTTCTCTTGCTTCATTACGGGTTGACCTATTTCATTAGAATATTGAATTATTTGGTTTAACCTTATTAATATTCCGTTCATATTTGTAGCAGAAGATGCCATAGAAGATGTTTTAGAATCTTCATATATGAAAATGTGAAAAAGGGAAAAAGGGAAAAAATATTTTCATAAAAGATAAGAAATAGGAATGTTATTTTATCACTGGGATTTAGCGCTGATCTTTTTACACTTTATGAAACGACAAAAACATCTTTTCACTGGCGGCTCAGATTCAGAGTTAACCTGGGATTCAAACTAACCATCTTCGGATCTCGGCACGTAGTGATAAGCAGTTGTTAAAATTATCATCTCATGACTGCAGCTAGTCCATACTGCACGTCGTTTTTCTCACGCACACTTTGAGCGAATTCCTTTTATAGCGCGATTCGCTGCATTGTTTCACTATAAGGTATGTCGATGTTTTCGTATTTTTTCTGGTATTTCCTGGATTGAGACGGTTTATAATTTGGATAAAACAATCGGTTTTGGTTGAAAATATAAAACCATAAGCTCGGGCTTTTCCTTCGCTTGCTGTTTTACATTTTCAACCGAGGTGTGTTTTGTCCTATACATATCAACGAATAAATCAATCAGTCGATAAGACCGAATTCGTCAGTTTACGCCAGACCCACGGTTGCAGCACGTCCTCCGCCATACCGCGGAAACCCCGCTTTCTCAACGATTCCGATTGAAACATATATAAAAAGGATATACAAGTGTTCGATAATACGGGGGATTTCATTAGGATTTCACCACGCGTGTAACTGATAGACCAGGGCATGTTCGTCCGTTTCGAGAATCCTTGGTGATGTAAATTTGACCAAAATCGCCTCACTAGTCTGCCATGGGGATCGACTTAGACCCGCATGTCAGGCAGTGAATAGCAATGGTCAGGATAGAAAAAAAATAATACAAACAAGTGGCTTGAAATCTAAAACTCACAGTTTATTTATATAGGCAATCTAACTCAAGTAGGGGTTACAACAACAGGTATGTAGGACCTGATAGATAAACACCTGAGTATGGAGCTAATTGACAAACTCACAACTCAATAGGCTGTGCTAATCAATCTCACCGGAGGCTAGACAAGACAATGGATAATGCTAACGTCTACGTTTGACAGGACTTCACACCTTGAGACAATGAGCAGTGACCAATTCACAGAAGCTCTTAATAGGACCAATTTGCTGGGACTCAAAAGGACGGGATAATTACCTCTAAGAGATAATAGGTGGATTTAAAAGAACTACAACGCTTTAAGCGTAAATAAGGATTTTACCCAAAATATCTTCCCAAAGTACTGTAAGATACAAATAGATAGTTCTATGAACTTACAAGTACAAAAAACCCTATAATAAAATGTAAGAGCAAGCAGAATAGTCTACGAACTTACAAAAAGGGTATAATAAGGGGTAAGATAAGCAAATGTGGGTATGACAAAGTTATTCAAACATTTACAGTTCAGAGAAAGTTCAAGATCTCGCCAAATCCCGTCAAAGAGTCCTAGGTCGGCCCATCAGTAAGACAGCAGTGAGCAGCCAGCAGCGTGGCCTGAGTCCGCCGAGACGTTACTGATTTACTTAAGATTTGAGTCAGCCTTTAAAAGAAAGAGCCCCTAATTGACCATCACTAATTGGCCACTTAATTAATTAATTAACCAATGGGAGGTAAGCCTATTTACGTTGGCTAAAGCTAAACAACCCCGTCTTTTTAATGAGAGTGTGTTTTCTAGAACAGGTTTTTTTTTTTGTAATATAACTAAATTTATATTATGAGTATATACACATATGAACTATGAGCGTATATGTCATAAAAAGTTATATACACTGATATAAAATATACAACAATAAATATTCAAATGAAATTGGTAGGGACAATAAACAGCGCATACACATGGGCAAAATATGTGTTCAGTGACCCAAAATCATGAATTACATAAAAAGTTGAAAAGTGACAATAAAAGCAAATACATACGAAGGTAGAGAATACAATTCTCTTTCAAACTGTACAATTACATATAATATCGACTTAGAAAATTGGAAGAGAAATGACGCTAATTAGCACCGCGTCACACTATACAATGATTTATAAATCTCCAAATGTCAAATTTTAAGTTGCAGACAAGTTTGATATATTTGTTTGAAAGGTACCAGACATGTTCACATATCTAAAAACAAGCCTTTTTCCGTTTTACAGTTGCAAGTTTTAGACCTCCGACATTGTGAAATGCGCATGTACATGTGTGTCAATAAATTGACTGAAAAAGGCAACTATTTCGAACTTTAAATGAAAATCTAAGCATAAACAAGTCTGTGACCCAGTATGATTTTTTATCTTCTGTTTGTACTTTTCAAGATCTCCTATTCAAATCAGCTTGAAGACAAAGTTGCTCAAGTTTAAATATTAGAAAACCCGAATACAGTGCCCGAATATCTCTAAAATCTGTCATTTTGACATAGGTTTTCCTTACCTATGTGATCAAAAATAACAAATGAACATGGCCTATATATTCTTATTCATATAAAAACATTATGACTTTCAGAACAATTACTAAAAGTTCAAGTCTTAAATTATGTAACTGGACCCTTATTCTACCTCGTAAATTAATACTCAGAAATTGGAGATAAATGTTTTTCCTCATCGTGATTTATGTCACTCGACATCACCATACCACTTAAATAAGCGATAGGAAATAAGTACACTCCCAGTCTTTATCACCCTGGCATGTTCATGGAGTACACAACACCACGAATTAGTGTGAGTGAGTATGGTTTTACGCCGCTTTTAGCAATATTCCAGCAATATCACGGCGGGGGTCACCAGAAATGGGCTTCACACATTGTACCCATGTCGGGAATCGAACCCGGGTCTTCGGCGTGACGAGCGAACGCTTTAACCACTAGGCTACCCGACCGCCCACGAATTAGTGAACATATGCACCGCCAAGAGGATGTCTCCAAGATGCGACACAAGGCGAATACGTCTACTAATACTTATCCCAGTGTGTACACTGTATGAAATTTCATCTGATGTTCGTGGTTATTATAAAGCAGGCGGTAAGACATAATAGTAATAGATCCGTTCAATGATAAGCTATATATTAATCGAAAGCAGATGGGTGTGATATGTGACATACCTGTAGATGGGTATTTATAACATGGGTGCAACCCGGCTTAGATTATATTACACGTCAGCGGGTTTAGTGATGTGAAACGGGGTTTATATATTGTAATTTTATAGTGCTATCCAACTGTTGTACCATGCCGCAGTTTAACATGGATACCCTTCTCAGACACAGTATACTGACTCCGAGCCGACCAGTCCTTGTTTTAACCCTATAATGCCGAGCACCAGGCAGGGTAACAAGTGCCATCGTTTAACGTATTTCGGTGTGACGCGACCGGGGATCGAACCCAAGACCTTCCGCTCTCAGGGCAGACGCTCTATCCATTAGACCACGAAGGTGGTTAAGTTGGTTGAAAGCGTCCCACGATTAGCATCAGATCTGTAATTGGCGATGTTGTGTTTTGTGTACGTTTTTGGGAAGTTCAAGGTAAACCTGAGGAAGAGGTAGACGAATCAGGCGCCGCATTTCGCTGTTCAGAGTTGTGTCCCTTAGGCGTACCAGAAGCCTGCTATGATGGGTTCGAATCAAAGCCATGACCAGAATCCTTATGCTGATCACAACTTTTGTAAAGAGTATTGCACCTTATAGGGGGCGGTGAGGTAGCGTAGAGGCTGAAGCGTTTGCTCGTCACGCCGAGGGCCCGGGTTCGATTCCCCACATGTGTACAATGTGTGAAGCTCATTTCTGGTGTTCCCCGCCGTGATATTGCTAATGTATTGCTAAAAGCGGCGTAAAACCAAACTCACTCACTCACTTCAACTTATAGCGTTTGTTTAAAGATGAATGACTGTATATTGCGTCCACGTTTGAGATGTTCATTTCTTCGTGTCATACCGACAACAGCGTCCGAGCAGTGAACACGTTTATCTCAGGACCAGAGACTGCTTCCTTACCCATGCAAGGACCCACCGTTCAGAGATTCGCACTGATTTTGTACCTTGGCCAGTCAGCAATATGAACAACCCTCCTGAATTTGGACATGAAGCTCGCCGAGCTCTCTTCTAGCAGATATTTGTTATGATTATGGAAGTATTTTAGTCGCTTTTATTTAACAGCAAAAGTCCTGATTTATTTGAACCATGTGATGGTTTAGTCCGACATGCATAGTTGTATAACTCTGATCATCGTGATTCGTTTGAATATATTTTGCAAACGCGACGCTAAATATTAAATAGTTTACGTTGATGTGTCAGGTCAAGAAGAGGAAAACACATTTGTTGACTCAGATATTAAAAATGAAAACAAGTATACCACAAGCTTTAATTATAGCTGTAAGGATTCCATAATTCCGTTTTCTATTCATAATAAGTGAGGTGAGGTGAAATGGGGCTTAACGTCGCGTCCAAGGTTATTGCACTTAATATAGCGACGTGCATGTACGTGTGTGTGTTTCTGTGGCTGCTTGTACTAGTCCGGACTGATGCCGATTTATAGTGCTAGCTCACTGAGATACCATGCAGCAGTTTAACATGAATACCCCACTCAGACACAGTATACTGACTCTGAGCCGACCAGTCCTTGTTTTAGCCCCTTAATATCGAGCGCCAGACAGGGTAACAACAAGTACCATCTTTTAACGTCTTTTGATATGACGCGGCCGGAGATCGAACCCCTGACCTTCCGCTCTCCGGGCGGACGCTCTACCACTAGACCACGGAGGCGGTCTCATAATAAGTGAACAGACAATAAGCGTTCATACAATGGTATTCATGTTAAGACACATAAGAGTAATACGTCGATTTCAGTGTCAGTGTTTGCACACGCAACGGGCCTTATTTTACTCAATATAACAGCGGCAAAATGCGTTTATATTGAGTAAACTATATAGGTCTGCAAGCCTAGACCGGATAAGCAATTCTATGTATCCCCTGGAGCGCAATAGAGTGGATTCGACAAGTCACACATGTTTATAATGCAGTCCTGGTCTTGTCTGGGGATAGTGTACCGCACAACCGCTAAATACCACTGCTTTCTCTCAGCGGGTCTGGGTCTCGTTGAAATTAAGGGTGTCTGCGACAAGAATTTTCTTGAAAAAATACCACATCAGTACTGCATGCACAATTCATTTCTTGCATAACAATAACATGAGGTTAGACCCTGGAGATTCACCAGACCCAGTTCTATACAACATCGCTGCCGATCGATTCCTCCGGCAACTAGAAGCTCAAGGCAATCAGATCTCGCAGTCCCATCTGGTCCGGGCGCAACAGCTAGCTACCGACTAGATGGGAACAGTGGACAAGCGGTGTAGGTCCCATGAACACGTCCCCTTGAACTAGCCGTACTACCGTACAAACGTACTACCCGACACCGAGGACGCTGAATTGACTGGACCATCATGTCGGAAGAAGTTGTCAATCAGGTGCCGTAATCATTTTGTTTTATCGATATATCGATTGTGGCAAACTCGAGATTTTAACTTGATCACAAAGTGCAATTACGTTGATGGTATTTGTAATGATATTTGCAATGTCTGAAGGATATCCTTTTGTAAACACGACGGCGATGAATCATATCCTTTGTGTACAACTTCCGCTATCATTGTGCACATCGTCCATGTCCTTTCATAAATGCCTATTTGTAATAATTGATCTCCGTGTACATGTTCTTCCCCGACAAACCATCCCAACACATGTTACTGATTTAGGCTGACCCAGACGCAAGAATCCATCACCGTAACTCGGACAGTGGTGGGGAGATGCTGCTGTCACCCGCCGACATCCACTACATGCCATGTGCCGGCACCAAGGACGACGTCAATCGCAACACCGCCGACATCGCCCAAGAGGTCCAGCCGATGGATCTGTGTGATGAGAAGGCCTGTCTCCAGGTGGTGGAGAAGGGTGGTGTCTACTTCTCACTAGACAACGGTCGACTGGGGCTTCTTAAACGTCTACAGCGGGAGGGACGCTGCGCCAGGGTGAGGGTGGAACAGGTGCCGCTCAAGAACGTGTCCCCGGGGATCCAGGACGTGATGGTCGTACCGGTGCAGCCTGTTCGACAGCGGGGGAGATTGTATGGTAATGTATTGACAATGTTAGGTAAACATTACCACGTAGAGGTACAATCAGTATGGATATCTTTAAATCAAAGCATCTTGTTTATGTTCATCTTGTGCCATAATTAAATAACTAATTAGTTAAATGGGTTGGATATTGAATGTTAATGGATTTAATTTCCTATTACGAACCACAGAAAATCAATGAATCATATTTTACCGATATGTATCCACATGTATTCAGAATAACATGCGTCATCATGTGAAATGATAATGTTCTTGTCGACAATGAGTGAGTGAGTGAGTGAGTGAGTGAGTGAGTGAGTGAGTGAGTGAGTAGGGGATGGGTGAGGGAGTGAGTGAGCCAGCCAGCATTTTCCACACAATATTAGAGCAATGTTACAACGGAGACACCATGACTACACACGTCGTATTCATGTGAGGAATCGGACCTGAGTTCGAGGTAATGAAAAGCGATAGCTATAACCAACAGCCAGCACCAGTGCCGTATTAGTATGCGAGAGGCGACGGGGTGGCTTCGTGGTTCAAGCATTCGTTCGTCACACCGAAGGTCACAGCTTGATTCCCCACATGGGTACAATGTGCGAAGCCCATATCGCGTGTTCCCCCGTGATTATTGCTGGCGTAAAACCCTACTCAATGGCTCACTGTTATTATGGCGTCCTTGACATCCCTGCTTTTCTGTAGATTGATGATGGTTCATGTTGACGCCCGCATCTAAGTGCGTCGATGGTAGATTTAACAAATTATTAAGAAAAACCGTTTTTTAACGTTATCTCAAAACAATTTTCGGTGAACAAGAAAATATGAAAGTCAAATCAGAGGATTATTTTCTCTCTCCTCTAATGACATACTGTGAAGGTTTCACAGAAATAATTTCTGCAAATTTTGTTTGGATTGAAATGAAATATGACAAGAAACTATTAATTTTAATTTTGATTCACATGTTTTAAATGTTTGGAAGGCGGATACGTAAAGCAAATTACTTAAATAAACCTTTTTGTTCATATGTGTCTAAATGTTATTCCTCCATTTCTCTATATCTTTATCTGTGAAGTCTTTATTTTAATCTTCATCTTTAAACGAATGTCTAAGCGTGTAAATATTCCATATGATTTGATATTAGGTGGAGCCTGCATGTATATTTCTGCTGAATGGGACGTTGGGGTAGCCAAGTGGTGAAAGCGTTCGCTCGTCACGCCGAAAACCCGGGTTGGATTCCTCACATGGGTAAAATGTGTGAAGCCCATTTCTCCCGCCGTGATATTGTTGGAATATTGCTAAAAGTGGCGTAGAACCATACTCACTCACCCACTCACTCAATTCTGCTAATGTTTTACACTTGGTTCTGGAGACTGGTTCACGAAGACCATAACCCCTATTTGTAACTATGGTCGCCTTGTGGAATGGTGTCCATCGCTTATAGTTATATCTAAACCCGTCAGATGGTCACACATAATTTACAGGTCAGACATGTAGTCAGGTCACACACTATCGAGAGGTCACACATTTTTGGCAGGACAAACATAAGAGACAGGTCGCGCATTATTGGCAGGTCAGACATGATCGATAGGTCACACCTGATTGTTATTCAGCATGTTCGATCTCTTGAGTTATTGTGTACAATAGATTACGTCGTTGTGCAAACACAACAACATGAGTACTGTCTAACCTGACATTTATTGATTAATGAAACGATGCATGTAAACCCATGTGCGCTGTGGTGGTTACCAGCTGATTGACTAGAAGTTGTCGCTATCGTATTCTAGCTTATCAAACGCCAGTCACAGCGGGTGACACAACGAATGAAACGCACGTAGTTTATATGAACGTTACAATGATATGCACAACTGTTATCGCTGTGAAGAATGTAACGTTAAGTACACGATAACATAACCGCGTGCTATTAAGCAGTGGGCCACGCGGTATCCTCGTGGTTTAAGTGTTCGCTCTTCGCGAAGAAAGCCCAGGTTCGATTCCAAACATGGATATAACGTGTGAAGCTGTAGCCTCGTGGTTTAAGTGTTCGCTCTTCGCGAAGAAAGCCCAGGTTCGATTCCCCATATGGATATAACGTGTGAAGCGGTAGCCTCGTGGTTAAGTGTTCGCTCTTCGCGAAGAAAGCCCAGGTTCGATTCTCCACATGGATATGACGTGTGAAGCGGTAGCCTCGTGGTTTAACTGTTCGCTCTTCGCGAAGAAAGCCCAGGCTCGATTCCCCATATGGATATAACTTGTGAAGCGGTAGTCTCGTGGTTTAAGTGTTCGCTCTTCGCGAAGAAAGACCAGGTTGGATTCCCAACATGGATATAACGTGTGAAGCGGTAGCCTCGTGGTTTAAGTGTTCGCTCTTCGCGAAGAAAGCCCAGGTTCGATTCCCAACATGGATATAACGTGTGAAGCGGTAGCCTCGTGGTTTAAGTGTTCGCTCTTCGCGAAGAGAGCCCAGGTTCGATTCCAAACATGGATATAACGTGTGAAGCTGTAGCCTCGTGGTTTAAGTGTTCGCTCTTCGCGAAGAAAGCCCAGGTTCGATTCCCCATATGGATATAACGTGTGAAGCGGTAGCCTCGTGGTTAAGTGTTCGCTCTTCCCGAAGAAAGCCCAGGTTCGATTCTCCACATGGATATGACGTGTGAAGCGGTAGCCTCGTGGTTTAACTGTTCGCTCTTCGCGAAGAAAGCCCAGGCTCGATTCCCCATATGGATATAACTTGTGAAGCGGTAGTCTCGTGGTTTAAGTGTTCGCTCTTCGCGAAGAAAGACCAGGTTGGATTCCCCACATGGATATAACGTGTGAAGCGGTAGCCTCGTGGTTTAAGTGTTCGCTCTTCGCGAAGAAAGCCCAGGTTCGATTCCCCATATGGATATAACATGTGAAGCGGTAGCCTCGTGGTTTAAGTGTTCGCTCTTCGCGAAGAAAGCCCAGGTTCGATTCCCAACATGGATATAACGTGTGAAGCGGTAGCCTCGTGGTTTAAGTGTTCGCTCTTCGCGAAGAAAGCCCAGGTTCGATTCCAAACATGGATATAACGTGTGAAGCTGTAGCCTCGTGGTTTAAGTGTTCGCTCTTCGCGAAGAAAGCCCAGGTTCGATTCCCCATATGGATATAACGTGTGAAGCGGTAGCCTCGTGGTTAAGTGTTCGCTCTTCGCGAAGAAAGCCCAGGTTCGATTCTCCACATGGATATGACGTGTGAAGCGGTAGCCTCGTGGTTTAACTGTTCGCTCTTCGCGAAGAAAGCCCAGGCTCGATTCCCCATATGGATATAACTTGTGAAGCGGTAGTCTCGTGGTTTAAGTGTTCGCTCTTCGCGAAGAAAGACCAGGTTGGATTCCCCACATGGATATAACGTGTGAAGCGGTAGCCTCGTGGTTTAAGTGTTCGCTCTTCGCGAAGAAAGCCCAGGTTAGATTCCCCATATGGATATAACATGTGAAGCGGTAGCCTCGTGGTTTAAGTGTTCGCTCTCCGCGAAGAAAGCCCAGGTTCGATTCCCAACATGGATATAACGTGTGAAGCGGTAGCCTCGTGGTTTAAGTGTTCGCTCTTCGCGAAGAGAGCCCAGGTTCGATTCCAAACATGGATATAACGTGTGAAGCGGTAGCCTCGTGGTTTAAGTGTTCGCTCTTCGCGAAGAAAGCCCAGGTTGGATTCCCCACATGGATATAACGCGTGAAGCGGTAGCCTCGTTGTTTAAGTGTTCGCTCTTCGCGAAGAAAGCCCAGGTTGGATTCCCCACATTGATATAACGTGTGAAGCGGTAGCCTCGTGGTTTAAGTGTTCGCTCTTCGCGAAGAAAGCCCAGGTTCGATTCCCAACATGGATATAACGTGTGACGCGGTAGCCTCGTGGTTTAAGTGTTCGCTCTTCGCGAAGAAAGCCCCGGGTTCGATTCCCCACATTGATATGATGTGTGAAGCGGTAGCCTGGTGGTTAAAGTGTTCACTCTTCACGAAGGAAGCCTGGGTTCGAATTTCCCACATGGGTACAATGTGTGAAGCCCATTTTTGGTGTTAGACGCTGGTAAAACAACTGTTTGTTAATTTGTTTGTTGTTTAACGCCGCACTTAGCGATATTCGAGCAATATGACGGCGGTCTGTAAATAATCGAGTCTGGACAAGACTATCCAGTGATTGACATCATGAGCATCGATCCACGCAATTGGAATACGATGACATGCATCAACGAAATCAGCGTGCCTGACCAACCGATCCCGTTAGTCGTCTCTTACGACAAGCATAGTCACCTTGTACGGCACGCATGGGTTGCTGAAAATCTATTCTACCCCGGATCTTCACGGGTGGTAAACCCACTGATATGAATGATGCGCCAAGAACTGAAACATATTTTGCTCGACAACGCTCTCGGGGAGTGAGCGTGATGGGAATTTTGGGAATAAGTAGGACTAGTTTACATAGTTTTCAGACTTAGCGTTGAGTAGGTGGTGTAGACACATCAATGATGATGTTTTATGAAATAATAAAACAAATGTAGGTATAAATGTAAATGAGAGTAAAACATATTTTGCACTTTTCATTTTGTATAATCATAGGGCTATATTTGATAACAATAAGTATTCAGCATATGGAATTTATTGTATTTTACTTGGATTGCTATATATCCGCTTCGCTTGTGTTCATTCCCCCTGCGGACCGCCTCCGTGGTCTTGTGGTAGAGCGTCCGCCCGGAAAGCGGAAGGTCAGGGGTTCGATTCCCGGCCGCGTCATACCAAAAGACATTAAAAGATGGTAATTGTTGTTACCCTGTCTGGCGCTCGGCATTAAGGGGCCAAAACAAGGACTGGTCGGCTCGGAGTCAGTATACTGTGTCTGAGTGGGGTATTCATGTCAACTGCGACATGGTATCTCAGTGAGCTAGCACTATAAATCGGCATCAGTCCGGACTAGTACAAGCAGCCACACAAACACACACACACAGTGCAATAATCTTGGACGCGGCGTTAAACCCCATTTCACCTCACATCACCTCAATCCCCCTGCATTTTGCTATCCAGACGGTTTAGTTGTCATGGAAGCATATGCTGTCTTCAAGTGTACTGACGCCATGTTTGTCTCATCGATTTCCTTAGAAAGGGTGTAAAATATAATTACCGATTACATGTTGGGCATCGACGAATGCTCGGTAACAAACACGATTCACATAATCGTTACAACCGTAATATATAATTTTTTATTATTATAAATGTAACATACCTTCAAAAGTTATGTCCCTTCCTAAAAGCCATCAGTTAAAAATACAAGAGGCCCCGTTCACTTTCAGAGCTGTTGACTTCTCTCTGGTAGCTGGCCTGCATTACATGGATACATCTCAGGCCTGCATTGTATGACACACCCTTGTGTTTGCACATCTTATCAGTGTGCAAACATTTCGACAAAAACTACATAGTTTATTGCACCGTATGCTTTTGACGGAACCCGGAAGTGTCCAAGTATATATTAATTACATGACAATGCAATAGTTATACGACGCAAACGCACGTGTTATAAACAGTGACTATATTATGAGTTCTTGAAAATGTCACCAGGAAGAAAGGTTTTATCTATCTTAGTATACGTACAATGTATGTTTATAGTTTGGACCTTATTCAGGGTCACGTGTAATAAAGATAAACGTCAAGCCTTAGTGTTACTTATACTCCTATCTCTATCCGGGTGAAACATTGTGTACAGTGAAACCCCGATAACACGGACTGTACCATAACAGAACAATTTTTCGTCAAACCACAGGCGAACACCTGGCGTCATCACTGATTTTCAGTTTTCCATTCATATAACTTCACAGCTACTGCCATTTAAAGGGCAAGTATACACGAAAATGAACCTATTTTTCTTGTACTTTTTCATCATGAAAAGTATTTACCTAGTAGTTTCGGAGGCAAAACAATTAAAATATCACACGTATCAAATTTATTTTATTCATAAAATCGGTTCATATTTTTCACATTTACAGAGTGTTCTATTTCCATAATAAACACACCATGGCTTATGCCCCTTGCAATATGACGTCATTGGTGCCAATTGATAAAGGAATGACGTCATAAGACTTTATTAGACGCGTTTCACGTGGTGTATGTAGGTGTGTGGTTCTATCTTCTCAGATGCGCAGCCTAGCTATTGTTTTGTTCGGTGCCGAGCTGTCCAAGATACAACGCTAAGCACAATTACTCTAAAATTATTTCGTTTTCCAAAATCGCGACTGTGAAGACAACAATGCACTGATAACATACTGTAAGATTCGCGATTATGGTTGGAAGGGTCCGTTGTATGAATTGCGCTTATTCGTTCATTTGTGTTGCGCATATTGGCTCTTGCTGAGTTGCTGTCGTCTTCCGTGAGAGTTTAGATACCTGCTGGTTCTGAAACCACAGGACCATATGTAACTAATAATAACAATTAAAAAAACTAGCCAAAAAATTATAGAAGAGGCCGAAGGCCGTTTTTGTTACTATTATTAGTTACATCTGGTCCTGTGCTGAAACTGATCGGAAGCGGATGGTGTACGATCCTTATATGGAAACGGGCCAAAGGGACAGCACTCTCATCAAAACCCTGACTGGGATGTTTTTGTAAACAAACGCCGTAAAGTTGAAGTAACTCGATCAGGTAAGTTTGCTGTGTTAGTTTATTCTAACCACAGTAGTATTTAAGTAATGTATTTTAGCAGGGGTAGGGTGATATTTGTTTCACTTGACAATCATGAACATCCGCGATGTTGTCTCGTTCACATGTTCACTTCCTGCATGGTTATGTCGATACCCCTGATCAGCTGATCGTTGCAGTATGCAGCAATTTAAACTCCTGTTGATGGAGTAAGTTGTATTACGTAATGTTTTAGTTTTACAGCCATTCCCGTCTGGAATTAACACAGATCATCTCATTTCGGTAATTAATAAACTTTATAATAACACAGGAAAACAAATTATAAATTATATAAACTCATTGAAATTCTGTGTGTGTTTGTGTGTGTACCTAATCTTTAAATAATCATGTACAATAATTTTGATTCAGACTGTTGAAGCAAAAATCCGCAAAATTACATTGTTGCAACATGTTTATTTTTTATATTGAGGCTTTATATATTTTTTATTTAAAAAGATATCTGGTTTTGCAGGTTTGTAGCTGACAAAATATCCAGTCACTATCCAAAATCATTGCCCACCTACCACCTAAAATATTCAAATTTCATGTTCAATGCAATTTACACACATATACAATTTATAGCACATTTATACATGAAAAAAATCAAGTTACCATTTTATATTTTGTGATAGTGCGATATAGATGACAAAAGTGTTAATGTTTCTATGTTGTATCTTTCAAATATGAAGTTTCGAGCCAAGTCATGCCAGACACCAATGCCCAGAAAGTACAGGTCCCCAGTCCATCATGGTGTAAAGTCGCTGTCCAATGTACACAAGAAGCATGGCACACCGTGCTTCACAGTATGAGGTACAAAATAATATTTTGACAATGAATAATCACACAATGTAAATACTATATGCAAATAATTTCTGTATTGAACTATTTTGTGTATCTATTATATTCTATATTGTTGTCTTTTGTAAAAGTGTAGTGTGGATGACAAATGAAAGTATACTGTGAATGACATATAACAGGTTAGATCTGATACAATTTGTACACAGTTAACTGATGATATTTGTCTTCAGGCACCCAGTGACATGCCTGACACTGCTGAAGATTATTACCACCTTCTTTTACAATTATTTAGTCAGTGTACATATTATTTTGACAAATTTATGTTTAAATTATTTTTATATTTTTCAGGTCCCACAATGATATTGAAGAGTATAAATGCGACAAAACCCTTTCCATATTCATATGAAATCTCTGTAAAAACAGTTGATGGTACGATTCTGACTAAATCCTGAGCAAGTGTTAATGAATCGCTATCAAATAGTGATAATACCAGGTGTTCGCGAAAGGTGAGAGTATCCTGCCCAACCAGACCACAAGGAATCCCTGGTGTTGAGATCCATTTTCATTGAGTGCAAATTGTGTTTATTTTCATGCAGAGTTACAAGTCATAAAATATTAGAGTGTCTTGTGAGGTACAGTGCTTCAGACAACAAGAGAGCTGTACTTTTGAAATAGTCAACCAGTGCACTAACAAGTTGCCACTGAGCATTTAGCCAGTGCTTGTGATATTTTCTTCAGTCTTTTCCCCGGCCCTCGCCCTTGCCCAAAACTACCTGATCCAGCATCAGCCATCCTGTATTACAGAAACTTATCAAATGAAGCAGCAAAGGCTGATTGTTGTCAGAGACCATAAAACAAGATTTCAATGAAAAAAGTTTATTTTAATGAGCATAGAGAAAAACATTACATACATCAGATGGAAATCTTTCATGAATCACCTCGACAACACAAGATGGAATAACTTTTCTCTGATTCTTCAACTATTTCTGCAAATCCCCAAAGTGAACCTCTTGTTTATGAGTTGTAGATAGATTCTGAAATGAAAAAGTGTCTTTTATAAGTCAAGCTATGCACAACATTACAAAAAGATATCATACCATTTACATATATATTTTTGTCATTAAATCTGGAGGGATGCTTATATAAGAAGTAACTTGTATTGATGATATATGCATAATTTTTATTACATGTTAATAATTCAATAAATACCAAAACAGTTTATAGTTCTATCATGTTGACATGATGTGTTTATTACTGTAGGTTTGAATACTTCTTGAAATATTGTGGGCATGTTTCAATATCACTGATGTAATTTAATAACCTTACAAGTTACATATGCTTTCACAACTTGCTGGCAAATAAACATTTATGGTACTCAAATCTCTTATTTTACTTGTCAGATTTGTTTGTTGTGCATGAGAGATCTTAAAATGCATAATAAAATAAATTGATGAAAGTAAATCATATTATATGTTTTCTAAACTTTATTTCAAGTGTTAATATAAAAAAGGGTTGTGGGGTAGCCTTGTGGTGAAAGCGTTCGATCATCACACTGAAGACCCAAGTTTGATTCCCCACATGGGCACAACATGTGAAGCCCTTTTCGTTGTGATATTGCTGGAATATTGCTAAAAGCGGGGTAAAACCCTACTCACTCACTCATATAAAAAAATGATTGCATATTTCATTTGCATTTTAGGGGGTGGTTGTTACAGATGTTTTGCTCAAAAGGTCAGGTTGGGAGGTCCAAATTTCCAAACAAAGATTTACAATTTCAAATATTTTTCACTAATATTCAACAAGTTTTACTTATGGTTTCTTAGATAATTTATATGTATTTTTTGTGACAGTAAATGAGCTTTTTGTAAACATTTTACATATATCTGGTCCACTCAGTTAAACAACCCACTGTTTTTAATAATTAATTATATATTAGATATTTCTTCTTATTTATAGTTTCTAAACATTTTTTTAAAAAATCTGGCCCCATAATAGATGATAAATAGTTTCTCTGCAAAGTTGCAATGCATTTTCTATGAATGGTTGTCAGAACAAACCAATAACCAATTATCTATTAAATAGAATAAGATAATGTAGGCCTACTGCAGTAACTGGTTTCAAACACTAAACAAATCAATTGAGTGATCTATCTTTTCACTTTCAAATGGGGACGGTGTGAAGTGTGAAGTACGACATCCAATTATTTATCAATAAATATGGCAGGTATTTTGAACTCGGATGGGAAAAAATCAAAGAGAATATCTTTTTCCCCCAGTACGTTACCACTCGGCAACCGACTTTAGAAACGTACTGGGACGTACCCCATTTTCGTGTTACTCTAAGCATATGGTCTCGTCATCAGCTATTGTGTAATCTTGTTGAGACAACGTTTGGCGACAGATCGTATTTGTTTCTTGATATTGGCAAGTAGCATTGATCTGTAGCCTATAGGTGGTGGGAATAGTTACACCCAATACAGACAAACTCAGATTGACGACAATGCCGATACCGGCGATAGGGTCGTAACAGGGTGGGACAGGATGAATAGGCCTGCTGACGAAGCATGCGGGTCACCAGGCGTGACAAAAATCTCTTAGAATATGACATTTCCGCTTCTAAAAACGTAATAATGAGCATATAGGTAATTTAGGTATACACACATCAAAGTGTTATTCTTACCACGTTGTCACTGGTAGGCCTAATTGTGTAGATGTGGAGTCGATGTCGGGTGACAAATTAGGTGATGTGGGTCTTCTCTTGTTTCCACTTGATTTTCATCGTTTCCATACCGCGAAGCTTGCTCGTTTTGGTTCAAAATCGTATGGTTTTGCGATTTCTTGAAGGGTCAAGGGAACTTCTTCGGACCAGGCAAGGTATCGGATGCCATGTTGTCTCACCATAAACTGGTTCTTGATATCTTTTGCGTTGTGACAAGACAGGGACCCAGTTAAATTGGCACCAATTACGTCATAATCTAAGGGGGATAACTCAGGCCTGTTTAGCTCGGAAAACGAGGCCTCATAACGGCATGACATTTTCACTCTTATTGTGAGCTCGCTACATTGACTGTGAGAAAAATGAGTGTATATTTTCAAACACTGATACTAACTAATTCTAAAATTCCGTTTTGTTTAAAATAAGAAAGAAAGTGATTTTTGCGTGTACACTTCCCCTTTAAGAAAAGAATCTGTTTCGGCGGATAATCAAGGCTTGGTATTATTTTGCATTGAAGATTTATTATTTAAAAAGGAGATAAAAAATAAGCGTATGCACATGAGTTCTTAATACTAGACGTGAATGTATCATATTCTTTCTGTTTTATATATTCTACAGCTGTAAATATTAAATTAATACATATTGATAGGTTCTTGGGATCGCTACCGTGCCCAGTCAGGATAAACACATTTCGGGATTAACTAAACGGTGTTAGTAGGTAATGTAATAAATCTCTGTATATTTGTAGACGTCAGAAAAGACGGATTTCTGGCTTGACGGAGTCCACAATTTACGCTGTTATGTGAAGACCGACAGTCAACATTACTAACCCAAATGAACCACGCACTTTTATGTTGTAGGTAAAGGTCCATTGAAACTATTGAACATTCTACATTTGGAGAGAAGGACGTCGCTAACAAGCGTCAACAGCGCCACCGGCATCACGGACGACGACACCGACGATTCTGATTTCCAAGTCACAGACAGCGAATGTGGTAAGACCAGATACCATAGCTGATCCCCATACCGACAGGATGAGTTTTCTGTTGTTACCACGGTGAAACATATTGGCAATCTACATTTTTACATAATGACACTGTTTGTGCACGATACTTTCTATGATAATTAAGAGCTGTTATCATATTATTTTGATCCGCCATTCACGTTATATTCTTCCCTCGATTATTCGTTGTGGAAAGATAGCAGTAATGTCGTGGTACAAGGTTCGAATCCCGAATTCGCCTTTTGATCATAACCCTTAATTTGTCAGCACAATGTATAGAGGATATTTCATGTGTCGAGTGAAATATCATGTTTCTCTCATCGAGTGACGGGGGAAAGAAGATATTATCAGTAGTCCTTTTTTCCCCGTTTCAAGATGAGAGAAACATGATTTATCATCCAAAAATGGCTCCCACAGGAGACATCGCTTTGGTGAGATCAAGCGATATCTACAATGTAGATATCGTAAATGTAGATACCATGACGTCACAATCAAATGACATCACTAATGGCTCTCTCGACACATGGAATATCCTTTTTATTATATACTTTTTGTGTATTAGTCTACCGGAAAATGGTTTCATTAAAATTGTAAAATCTTGAAATGTAAATTCTCCCTACCTAACACATAGGGCGACTTTAAACGTAGTTTCGCGTTTGCAAAATCTTAAACAATATAAATCAAAGTACAAAAAAATATTAAGATATGATTATATGCAAAATCAACTTTAACAAAAAAATATTCTTCAAAACTTGAAGACCGCTGTTGGAGGCGAAAGAATACACGCTGGCCAAGTAACAAACATGCCGCTTTGAGAGTCAAATGCCAGTTTCGATTGACGAGTCAAATGAGAAATTTACAGTTTATAACGAAACATTTTCGAGAGAATATTAACAAACAGCCTGAAGCGATATGAACTCCATAAATGGCCATCTTTCATTATTTTGCCTTGTTAATGTGAAACTAACTTAAAAAGGACGTCAACAGTTTGTGTACGGGCTGGACACTTGCGATAAAGGGAGACAATTTAAGGGGAGTTAACTCTTGTTTGACAGTTGTTCTGTCAAAGTGTTATGTTCACTGAAGTGAAATATCTGGTGTCATGTTCACTGCAATGAAATATCACTTTTCTCAACTTCAGAAAACTCAGACTTTCACTCTGAAGTATATACTATTTACCCGTACTCTAGGTTTGTACAACATTGGTAATCCTCTACGATCTGTACCATTTTGGGCTTCTCCCCACATTAAACTGACATGCCGGGAGATAACTTAACTACCGATCCAATTGGCGCTGAACCCAACTCTCTCTCTCTCTCTCTCTCTCTCTCTCTCTCTCTCTCTCTCTCTCTCTCTCTCTCTCTCTCTCTCCACTTCCTTGTAACTTTTAAGAATCTTCGTCATCATCAAACAGTAGCATCATCAACACACAACACGCGTCAGACAGTATATCTCCATCGACACTCAAACATGCATCAAACAGCATCGACATCATCAACACACACCACTCATCAAATGACATCTTCGTCATCAACACATACCACACTTCACATGCACTGGCTCTGGCGAGAAAGACTGAGTAAATACAACACAACCTTGCGCGACTGTCAACAAACGCAATGCATTTAGAATTCGCAGTATTGCAGTATTTGTCTTCCTGGTCGACGAGAAAACCATTGGACGGACATTACCGCTGACATACACAGGTCAAGCTGAACTTAGTTCGTATGACATAGACCACGCGATTAGTCGAACCATCATATCTGCATATGGCTATTCCCTACAGTATTTTACTCTTAATATGTTACCGATGGGATTTGTTTTAGATAATATCGGTTCTGTGCGTGTTTCTCGCATATCCGGATATCTCGAAGTTCATAATCTATCCCTTCAGGTGAGGAGGATAACTGATGAGAATTAAATGCGTGTGTCTCTGGAATTATCTGAAGAGAAAGAGAGCCATGTTCTTTTCATTTAACAAAACAATTTAGTGTGAGTGAGTGAGTTAAAATCTTAAGTCACATCGGCAATATTTCAGCCATATCGTGACTATCAAGGGTTTGATATAATAAATACTATTAAACTTATAATACAAACCTGCCAACGAAGGATAGTAAAAACACTAGATTTATCACAGAAAAAGATATAAAACTAGTATGGAATCATAAAAAACAACAACTATACATTACAATTACATGATAAAAACGGGCTATAAATCGCCAGCCACCGAAGGTAGATCACAACACTGGGGACCATGGGGACTTACAGTACCTTTGCTACCTGCATGGACCAAAACAATTTAGCCTTTCAACAGTACATCATCATTATAAAATTATACATTCTTTAGAGGTCTTACGTGTACAGATGCATAAAACAATCCACGTCCTCTGACAACCATGTTATTGGAAATTAACGGGACTGAAAATAATGCATGTGTAATACCCAGTTGGATTTTCATGTACTGGTTTCTTTCTCAAGGTAGCTTACAACATAAAATATGGGGAACATCTTATCGTCGCTGGTCATTCTGTTGATTTTTATCTCTTTACATTACATAATAATTCAAAAGGAATGTGCTGCTGAGACATGCATGTTTTCGTTTTAGTGCTCAGAATCCTGAAAAGGAGGCTTTCTATTTTTATCCATGGAAAAGGCCAAAAACCGATCGATAGTGCTGTGATAATGTTGTTGGCCACATTACATAATTAGAGCGCACGGTGAAGAGAATCTGTTCTGTGCCTGGTATTAGTGGTAGAAAAACTAACCGCTCTAAAGGCAATCGCAGCAACTAGGCGCTTTCAAGCCATACACAAGGAAAGCCAATACTGCGTCCAATATTGTTAATTTGGCATGGCACTTTATCGGTAATCATACAGTAGCCATTTATGTCTCGCTGTGAACTAAATTTGCAAGAAGCCTACTTATGACGTAATCAAACCCTCACTATATACTGCATCGAACAAAGATATCATTGTATTCAGACAAAATCCACCAGAATGCTAGCTGGCACGCCTCTTATCAACACTGACTTGAAATTATTTGGCTGTTGCGGTTTCCTTCAGAGTTGTCATTATTTCCGGACGCGTCATACCAAGAGACGTTAAAAGATGGTACTTGTCGTTACCCTGCCTGGCGCTCTGCATTAATGGGGTAAAACAAAGAGTATTTGGCTCGGAGTTCATGTCTACTTAGTCTGAGTAAGATATCTTTGTTCAACTGCGGTATGGTATCTCACTGGACTAGCACTATAATACCGGCATGAGTCCGGACTAGTACAAGCAGACACACACACACACACACACACACACACACACACACACACACACACACACACACACACACACACACACACACACACACACTAACATGCACATCTTAATACAATTGCAATAATCTAAACCACATTTCACGTCACATTTAAGAGCTGAGCCTTTATCCTATAAGCATACCATATAATGCAATGGAGGGGGTAACAAGAACCCTCAAGCCTTCTGTTTTCAATTAAGAAATATTTTATAGCAGTAGCAGTTTTAGTTGCTCCCATAACAAACAATCTTCTTTTAAATATATACAATGCAAAGCCAGGTTATCCCAAATAGGATGATGAGAACCGTCACCCCTTCAAACTTATAACGACGCCCTCCATCCACTCGTTCTTGAGTTCCCTTTGAAAATATCAATATCTTCGATCTTCTGTAAGTGGATCTCCAAACCTAACGCAGAAGTCTTCATCACCATCATCTACTGCCCTCCAATACATTGACTCGTCGTCAGACGTGCATGCTGCTGCTTTGACGACTTGCTTCGATGAGGTCTCACGTGCACGTGTTGTTGATCCCCGTGCGACTTGACCGCCTCCGTGGTCTTGTGGTAGAGCGTCCGCCCGGAGAGCGGAAGGTCCAGGGTTCGATCCCGGGCCGCGTCATACAAAAAGACGTTAAAAGATTGTACTTGTTGTTACCCTGTCTGGCGCTCGGCATTAAGGGGCTTAAACAAGAACTGGTCGGCTCGGAGTCAGTATACTGTGTCTGAGTGGGGTATTCATGTTAAACTGCGGCATGGTATCTCAGTGAGCTAGCACTATAAATCGGCATCAGTCCGGACTAGTACAAGCAGCCACACACACACATACACGTGCATGCACGTCGCTATATAAGTGCAATAATCTTGGACGCGACGTTAAACCCAATTTCACCTCACCTCACCGTGCGACTTATTATGCAGTGTCTGGTCACAGTCATCTTCCCGAGGCAAGGGAGATAACTGACTATAAAAGTCCAGTTTCCACCCTTGCCGAACTAGGCTGGTATTATGGAATTACATTTTGGCTGGAATAACGAGTCTATGCATAGTCCAATCAAAAACGCGCATCGAAATCGAAATCCGGTTTGTAAAGTGTCATGCAGATTTCGGTCGACTGCAGGATTTGCAGAGCATGTGCACCGCTAACGTTAACTCGATGTCAACAGATATTTTCTAAATCTTTTCATGCTTTTAATCAAGGTGCTCACGTGATTTGATGCACTTCGCGATGTAAGACTCGTTTTATCACAATATAGCTCTTGATTATCAATCAGATCGTCTTGACTGGACGCCACCGTTTTGTTTGAAGCAAATGCAAGTGATACGAGAGGTTGAATCTGATTGGTCAATAGGAGAGGCATAGAAAGGACATAACTCGTAATAGCCATTGGTGGAGCTACGATCGAGCCAAGGAATTCCAGCCTAGTTCGGCAAGGGTGGAAACTGGACTTTTAAAGTCAGTTAACTCTCTTGCCTCGGGAAGATGGGTCACAGTCGATGCATGTATTATTATTTTTATGTACAGATTAAAATAGAAAAATCAGCAAAGAATGTTTGGGTGATCAAGCCTTGCTGGGTAGGCTCCTCATCAGCTCAGGGCCCTTAATTACCCCCTCTACGTGAAGCTCAGACAGCGAATGGGACTTCTTTCAGAAAGCGCTGCCTAGTCGAACCCACCCAGAACTTTTCGGTGAATTTGAAGACTCCCCAACACTGCAGCCTTCTGCATTACCCAGATTGTTAGAAGGGCTGTATTCCTGACAGCAAACCGGGTACTCTCCCAATGTCAGTCAACAGATTAGGAGGTACCAAACCTAAGGCAGCGAGAACAATGGGGAGTCGGACATTTCGAAAACGAGGCCCGCATATTTGCCATGTTTTCCCTGAATCTTGTCAAGCACATAAATGTCCAAAGGGACAGAAAATTAAATTCAATAATGTAAATGTTTCATTGGATTTATCAAAAATGAGAAGATCAGGTTTGTTGACCTGGATAGGCGTGAGGCTGTATACGGGCCTATTCCAAAGAATTTTGTATTTATCAGTTTCCTTGACGCCCTCTACATATTCTGGGTCGTACCATGGATGGACGTCTGTGTCAAAACAACAAGCAAGACGGAAATAGAATGATGGAGCCAATATAATTGGTGTACAGAGACGGTTAATAAATTAGTGTAACACTTCCTACCGGTCTTGGTTGAAAATATTAATATTCTGCGTTGGAAAACCAACCTTGACATCACATTCGTGGTTAGTGTCGTGGCCTTCAATATTCATATACTCGTCTGACTGGAGAAGCGTCGTAAAATTGCAACAGCCAAACCAAGCCAAGTTTGGGTCCAGTCTTATTTTACACACGTGCCGATGGGTACCAGGACACAAATGGATCCTATACTCTATTCGGTTATTAAATTGGCTGGTAATACTACCACAAGAAATAACAGCTCCCTCAAAATATGTAACAGCTTTTATGAACTCACAAGTATGTAATGTCAAGTATGTAATGTTTAAAGTTGAATTCAGATCCATCAATATCTCAGGTCTCAGTCTCAAACCCATCAAGTCTCAGTCCAGTTTGACGATGTCACGTACCCTTTGGTCAGTTTAATAGGGACCTATTCAGCAAATCATGAAACTTAATAGGTTTTTATACACGTATAGCATTTCTACAAACTGGTTCAGATCCATAACATTTTGTTTAATGTATCATCTAGTACTACATCTCATAGAAACATATATATATATATGTGATCTCTAATCTGACTAATTCAGCTAATATCCAACTTGACCACCAGTCGGAACAGTTCTAGCCTTTTCACGTTTACTTTGACCTTGTTAATATTGGACAGTTTTGTAAACAGGTTCACAAATAAACACCAATTTGAAATTTGGTAGCCACCAAATCACGCTCCAAACACATCTTGATGTAACGCTTCAATCGCACTCGAGCTGAAGGTTAACCACGATTAACTGTTCTCTTTATTTGCTCATTGAACGAATTAACGAATAAATTAACGAATTACACCTGTAAGTTGCTTTAAATGAGACGATCCCGTGTCAATTCACGCATTTGCAACCATAAACTAATTCATCAGCCTTGTGATAGAATCGGGTAAAACAGAAATCGTTCTCTCAAATTTAAGGCAGTATTCCCGATCAACGTACATCGTTTCAATGGTATTCTCCTCTTAGTACAAGTTCCAAGTATTGATGCTAATCATCCACAGCACGAAACGCCCGTAAAATCAATGCTATCACATCAGAACTTTCAATGGATCGAGATCCCGAAGACTCGTGTGTTACCACCGCCCATAATCATTCGTCTCCTCAACAAAAGATATGAGTGAATGCCACGCGAAAACATATTCCAGATAAATAAATAAATGTTTACGCATTATATATAAACTGATGAATCAAATTCTCTTGTAACACAAACCCAGGTTTATATATTTAGTGGGATTACATAAGTTATTATTCATATTCAAAGTGAATGTTGTTTGGCGCTGTAGTGAGGAATGTGATGTCAGCATAAGCAACCATTAACGCAGATGGGTACAATGACACACACCTTCCGGTCATTTTAGCCTTGAGTTCTTTTGGAAATACAATTTGTTAAGAGAAAATGAAAAATTGGCCTCAGTTATTTATTAAAACTCCGTAAAATACATTGTTCGCTGGACATCTTGAAAATATATGTGTCGTGTAAAGATAGGAAATTGTTCAAATCCTCCTTTTACAGTGTAAATTAAAGTTGGTGTTTTGAAACAATGACCGAAAACGTATTCTGTTTTTTACAAAAATCCCAGCCAAAGACAAATATTAAATGGACGATCCCAAAGTGCCACCCCTACCATTCAACACAAATCATTACTCAAAGTGCCAATATGGTTGTAATTGGCAAATCCCGATAAGTCGGAAAACGGAACATGGCATAATAAAAAGCATTCAATTAAAAAAATACTTTCCACATATGCAGAAACAATTATACATATAAATGAACATTCACATTCGATAGCAGCTTTTAAGTCTGCCATTTCCAATCGTGTTCCAAAAATTAACCATTTCTCATACGCAATAAAAGTTCAACACTCAGACAGCAATCATGCGAGGTTAAATATTATTACTATATTATAATGATGCATTAATTAAATAGCGGCAGGTGACACTTGCATATATATATGGCATTACTTGGCGTTTAAAATCCTTAAAACTATACTAAAACAGATAATGACGTCATTGACTGACATGCTTTTGCCATAATGATGTATACTTGATATGTCCCCTGTTTACAGGAGAAATGCTACTTCAAACAAAACGAACACGCACATGTGGACACTTTACAGTTTCATACTCCCACTTTCCACTTCAACATCATCGTTGTCTATAACGAACACTTTCATTAAAGTCATTCAATGAGAGGAAAATGGCACACGAGGTTATCCTATCTACTGTATCCATGTATGCCATTAACTCATTTGTGCTATGGTGACTGTTGACTAATAAACGTGATGTCATTTATAATGATAGGCTGCCAAGGCTATGTAACGACACCAACATCTGGTTTATCTTCATGTCTTTCATATCATCTCTTTAAGGTACGAAAACTTGATTGAATAGTTTTACGTTCTAACGCCGCTTTATGAGTTCTACAGTATTACCATGGCAGTCGACACCAATACCAGAAATCACACGTTGTACCATATTGCATCTGAAACCTGAGCCAGGATCAATTAAGAGTTGTTTTGCATTAACAAGATAAATATAAGTTGTAGCAGTATCACGAGGCTACATTGGGGTTTTATGCGTCTCGCGTAAGGTTTTATTCATAAAGTCACATGTACTCCGAGTGATCCTGCTACAACGAATTTATCTTACGACATGTGTTAATATGACATTGTATAAGAATTAAAACAAATTCAAAATTAATAGAAAACAGCTGTTCGTTTGAGCTGAGGTTAACTTGTGCCAGGCCACGTGACATTCATTGACTCGGAAAAAGCGTGACGCTTTTTGCTTCGAGGCGTGGTATAAGGGATTTATTCCGCCTCTCAGAAATTACCGTGCTGCCTGACTTGCTCGTGGCGGGGTATACGGGATTTAAATTTATTTCACTCCAAGGCGGTATTTATTGTATTTTATAAAGATCACTTTGGCCCATCAGATTTCATCATTCTGACATTTCGGTATGGTACTGCAGTTTGCTACATCCTTAACGCTTCAAGCCATCATCCACTATCTCATAAGGGATGACTTATTCTATTTTACAGATTGGAGCGCCGATGTTCGAGACAGCTCTAGCATGCTGTCCTCGGGGGACGATACGGAGGGCGAGGGAGACAATCTGCTGTAAACATGTTACCCGGAAGTTGTTGTAATGATGTTTATGTTGCTGGACTTCTTCGGGCTACGCCAGAAAGAGTGTCCGAAAGGACAGTTGGATTCACGATGCTTGAAGAATTGACGTGCCTTAAAGGGGTTAACAGAGTATTGCACGACCAGTCAACACGCCACAGTATCAGTTGGACTCCCAGCCCTTTGTCAGAACATTTCTAAAGGGAATGGCTTACCTAATTTGTTCTTGGTTGATGGAAGGCGGTTTCACGGTATCATCTTTGCTATCGTTCGAATCATTATAGGTTGTTTTATTTACAGAATAAACGGTAAGAAATATGTCACGAGTTACAAGAATGCCGGACCTTGTTGTTATAACATAACACGGCCCCGTGAGAATCATAAATTGGTGTTATCCTTATGTCTGTCTACAACTGTTTATGATGTTTGGTCATTGGGGCTTTTTGTCATTCCCCTTTACACCGATGTGCTAGTTTCTGGTGTTTAGTTCAACGAAAGTAAGGGAACATGACCGATCTAGTTGAACAGCCTCTAACGACAAGCAATAGATAATGTGGAACATATTCTAATCTGAGTTCTAAATGGCCTAACGTACCAGTATTTAAAAAACCCCAACAACATCCAGTTCAACCAAACTCAAACTTTTTGCGTTAAAAATGAAATATGAGCAAAAACATTTGCAGTGAAACTTCGATAATCAGGGCTCTTATGTTCTCAGCGAAGTCATTCGAATATCCACATTTCTAAGTATACGAATGGATGGTATGTAGCAATATTCCTAGAATATGTTCCCAAAAGTAAATGCGAGATTGTAGGACTAATGGGCTTTAAATTGGATGGACCAACACAATAAAGGCCTACCATGTTCATTCTTACTTGAACTGCTGTCCGTAAATAATGGCGTGATTGAGTGAGTGAGTGACTTAAAGTTTTCCATTGCATTCAATGCGTAACTGGAACTTATGGCCTGTGCACCTATATCAAATCATCAAATATTTAGCACCACGGGGGGATTGTACAGTTCTGTATTTATTGTTTGTTGTTAAAATACGGCAAGTAGAACTGTTTGCTATTTGAACAGGCATCTTGGTCGTTATTAAAGTTTTAACAAGTTTAAAAGTAAAAATAAATTGTCAGCGTATGAGGGTAAGACAGGACTGGGTTCTTTTCTCAGATTGCAAAAACTCAAGCAGGTCCTTTGAGTTTTGGGACACCATATGTTATTGATTCCAAATTTAAAGTATTTGAGGGAAGTGGAATTAAAAAAATGTGGATACTCCGAATGGGCTTCACACATTGTACCTATGTGGGGTTGATAATTAGATTCATCGAATCCCGATTGCGTGGAGCGATGCTCACGATGTCAATCACTGGATTGTCTGGTCCAGACTCAATTATTTTACAGACCGCCGTCATGTAGCTGGAATATTGCTGAGTGCAGCGTTAAACAACAAACCAACAACAACAACATAGTTAGATCTATGCATAATGATTCAAAGTGACAAATAACTCTCCACAAGACTTATGTTGAGCAATATTCAAGCAGCTCCATTTCACAACATTTGATGTATGATCGAGCATGCTCTTTCTATCAAATCGTCAAAGGGCTTGTATATAACTCTTGCTCAAAAGTAACCACATTCAAGGCCTCGGTAAAGCTTTCAAAACGTTTTATGGTTGATATGTGGAGAGAGTTCACGTGTTAAATTCAGGCGATCAATTGATTTACGCCCGCAAGAATATGGAAAGGGTTAAGTCGCTTTTATTTACTCTCATACGAGGGTAAACAGGTGAGGTGAAATTGGGTTTAACGTTGTACTAATCCGGACTAATGGAGATTTTATAGTGCTAGCCCACTGCAATACCATGCCGCAGTTTAACATGAATACCCCACTCAGACACAGTGTACTGACTCCGAACCGACAAGTCCTTGTGTCCGCCCCTTAATGCCCAGAGCCAGGCAAGGTAAGAACAAGTCCTATCTTTTGACGCCTTTAGGTCAAACCCCGACCTTCCGCTCTCCGGGCAGATGCTCCACCACTAGACCACGGAGGCGGTCGGGAGAGTAAATAGATGAATTCGTGGCCTCACATTAATTCTCAACGATTTTCTTAATTGTTCACACACCATGTTTCAATATATCTCCATCTTTAATACACTGGAATGCTCAAGTTCAAGTCATCATCTTTGTCCCCAAAAAACGTCTCAACGGCGGGAATCGCCACGTCGTTATTGGTAAAAACTCAACCTTTTCCACCTGTGACGTGAACAAAGGCGCATTGTTTTTGAGCAGTATTAATAGCACATCTGAAAGGAGCTTCCTTGGGTTTTTTACATGATAACTTCTCTCTACTGATGTAGCGATGTGGTCTAGTATTGTCCACTGATGGCCTGACCTCGTTGCAAATAGTCAAACATGACCATCCCATTACTGTCCAAGAGACCGTCTCCATGGTATACAGAATAGAGCATCTGTCCGGGAAGCGGAAGGTCGGTTGTTCGATTCTCGGTCGCGTCATACCTGCATTAAGGGCATAAAACAAGGACTGGTCGGCACGGAGTCAGAATACTGTGTCTTAGAAGTGTATCCACGTTAATCTGGCATGGTGTAACTCCAGGTGACTTGGCAGGATGCCGGGGAACCCGCTCTTAAACCTACATTCCCTGGAATGTTTTTAGGTTGTCTGATGGATTGTTCTTCATACTTCACTGCCACCTTCACATGCCAATACAGAACTGATGGCTACTGTCCCATTCTCACTAACCAACATATCCCGGAGTCCATTTGTAGCAAATGTTGTTGTTGGTCTTTTTGTCCATAGAAACATTTGATGTTGCCACAGTCACTGAACTACTTCTAACCATATGCTGTTGGCATCAAGTACCAAAAACATCTTGCCTCAAAATGGCCCTGCATTGTCGACGTGAATCCTCATCCCGAGGATATGAACTGGAGCTTGCAGTGGAGCCCTAGCAGGCTTTAGATGACACATGGAGCATTTCTCATTTCTGCATAAATTGATATATTTCACTACCACAAACCCTGAATAGTATGGTTTTCGGTTTTTCTTTGGATAACTCATTAGCGTCAAAGTAATGTTGCAAACGTTTGTTGTACGTTCTATGTACTAGCGACCAGTAGTCGGTCTCGTCGGACCACTGATACTCCCGAATGTTGCCATCCAGTTGACCGCTCTAAGGTAGTTTACCTCATCTTGTATTCTGGGATCCCACTACACGGGATTCGCGTTTGCTGTACAACATACATTCCTGATCTTCGTTGTACGCACTCTTGAAGTGTTCACTCGCCCCAACGATTTATTGAGACCTAAAAAAATGCAATCATCAATGCACATATGGTACACACGAACGATATATTACTGTAAGGGAAGAATTACGTCAAAAAGTTCTCATACAACGTGATGTATATTTATTTAATCCTGACGTGTATAATTTATGTATCACATGGTGGCTGGTGCACAGATGTTTCTCCCAACATTTATAGTCTACATGTTCGGTGTGCGGATGCAAGGTACATCTGGTCGCATTACATTGGAAGGTTAGATTGTTTGAATTTTAACGATAACTTTAGCACTAGAAGATGCGAGTGTGAACAATACAAATGAGACTGGGAGAAGGGTATACTGATTAGTGACGGTATTTTTATACTTTTGATTGGCAACATAGTCAAATAATAATTGACAGTTTAACGCTCTTGGAATGAAGGGCAGACGTGGCCAATACTTCCACGAATATGTTTGCCCGGCATCGTTTCAAATTTACAGCTGAAGAAAAGGGGTAATCTTTGCCACCATTAAAAATATCTTTCTTTCAGGCATGCTGAACCAGTAATTTGGAGTTCGGTCTTTTTTTATTTTGTTTTCCTATCAATGGCACTGAAAGTTCATTGAAAGAAAACACACACATGCTGGTTTGGGAAGCATATGCAGCCACAATGTTTCGCGGATATATGCCCATGGGACTATCTTATTCCTTTGGTGTTCTGGAGCGGGTTATTACTCGCGAACGACCCCATCACCGTTGTAGCGAATCGGAGCCAACATATGGTTTAACGAGTGAGTGAGTGAGTTTGGTTTAACGCCGCTTTTAACAGTATTCCAGTTATATAACAGCGTGTCAGCTTAATGTGGGAGGAAAGCCCAAAGTGATGCAGGTCTTAGACGGTTACCACTTCGGTGAAACCCACGAGGACGGGTATGGTGCTGACAAACCTAGAAACATAATCGGGGCGAACCGGGATTCGAACCCACAATCATAGGTTTCTGACGTGAGGTTAGTTTAAACATATTTTTATTTCATAAATGAAATCTGGATTGGTAAACGAGCTAAACATTGGACTGCTTCATATAAGCATGTTCATTTTGAATATATATTAACCGACGGCCAATATTAACTTTACCATATTTTAATCACTGTAAACGTAGGTTAAAAACCAGGAAATGATAGATACTTGAAATAGACTGTATTCAAACGATCCAAATCTCAACGAAATCAACACTGTTATGATCATACAACACCCGATATTGGCATGACAGTTACTCGAATTGAGCTGGCGCACAGAAAAAGTCTTGGAGTGACCCTTGAAGATACGGGTTAGAATAGGTCTTCTGCAAACCATGCATGCCGGAAAATGCGACTATACTTGTCGTAAGAGGCGTCTAATTGGATCGGGTGGACAGGCTCGCAGGCTCGGTTGATGCATGTCATCTTATCCCAATTGCGTGTGGATCGATGTCCATGATGTCAATCCAGATTCGATTATTTCACAGTCATAAAGATGGAATAGTGCTGAGTGCGGCGTTAAACAACAAACCAACTGTTCTTGTCCGTTGGCTTGGAGGGGGAGCTGCCATATTTCCGTTGACGATGACCAATGGTGCTTTCTCCTGCCCACAAATTGCCACACACATCATAGCACCAACTTCGGCACGACCTCCTGACCGCAACATGCCGCCGTTGTTTCTCCCTTACGGCGGTAAACTAGCTTCCATCCGTTAAGACGAGCCTCTGCCAGTCATGTCACTGTCAACGACGTTCAGTCCGGGTCCATCTCGATTTTGCGCTGTCAATAACTGTCCTCTGCAAGGCCTATGTGACAAATGTTAATATTTGGGAGAACTCTTTCCTAGTAAAGAACAGAACACACAAAGTTAGCGATCTAACCCACCCTGGAAGCCTCGGTGGCTCATTCTTACTCGAATCAGTACTTAACTATGGAAGTGTTATCCCAAATATAACATTTGTCACATTTGACCACTTTCTAAATGGCATTGCGTATTCATGCTCTCGGTATGGCCTGTAGGCCCTAATTCCTTGAGCCCTGAGTTGCCTGACCACTGCCTGCGGGGTATCAGTAGTGGCATTTCTGTGGTGATCTTATATCATGTGTGTACCATTTATGTACCCTTATTGCGGCAACCCAGGCGGCACGTGTTTTTAACGTTTTGCATTTTCTAAAACAAAAACATGCCGTGGACGTGTATCAGTTCCTGCTTGGAGCATTGGTGTGTTTGAACGATGTGTTATGCATTTATTTAGTTTGAACTTGTGTTTTTCAATTTTTGGTGGTGAAGCTTCTTTTGGCCGTCACTTTATGTACAATACATGAAGTTCATCTGTAATCGTAACGGAGCTGAACGAATGCCTTGTTTGTTTATTTGTTGTTTAACGCTGCACTTAGCAATATTCCAGCTATACGGCGGCTAAACGAATGCAGTATCTCAGTTTCATATATTGTATCCCAAAGTTTTTAGATTATTAATACATTTCCTTGTTGATTGCGTCGAAGAGTTGCGGTATAAGACCGTTTTCATGTTATATCCACGCTTGTAAAAATACATTTTATTTCTAATATTTGCGTAGTTGCTGCATGTGAATAGAAAATGTAATGCATCTTTGAAATGATACCCATATCATGATACCTTAGATATCAGCCGTGTCCACCAGAAAGTAAGAATTCACATAGGAAAAAGATATTATTACGTGTGTTGCCATTAATGGCACAAGATATCCAGTCTTATCAAATATTCATGCTTTCTTCTGTATCCCTTATTATGTGTCAGTATTAGTAAAACAGCTCAATAATTGTTTAGATGAACAGGCACGAATGGATGTAATGATCCGCCACAACCAGCAACCAGGCGGTGTGTGCTTACATCGTTAACAAGTTCGACCAGGCGATTATTTTAACAATTAACAACCAAACTGTGGGCTTGGTTTTATTTTATACACCATCAATGTAGCATAAGCCATCTACAATCACATTAGACAGCCCTGCAACACGTGTCAGGCAATTGACGAAAACAAAAGTATTTCTATTGAAAAAGTAAATTTCACACTGTTGCTATCGCTAATTGACGAGTACATTTTGTCATTTTTCGCAAGAGATGTGCCTGTTTAAATACATATTCATAGTTTTGTGATATGTTTGATGAATGTAGGCAGATACAATTTATTGTTCCATGCCAGTCACTTTAATGACAGTATAAGTATTCGTATTAAGTTTAGAACGCCTTAGATATTTCACGGTTCCCAATTCATTATATCTCGAGTTTCATCTAATCACATCCAATGACACACGTTACACATACACACATTTGCTGAAGCACAGATATCGATGTTTGTCCTAAAGATACAGTCGCATGTTCTGTTGTGCGGATGCTGGGAGGACGTCACTCTTCTGCAAGGTTAGATTAGATTGTTCGTATATGTAATGGTGAATTGTGCAAATGAGGTTTGGTGGAAAGTGTAATGATGTACACCTCCAAAGCCATCCAAATTACAGCATCCAAATTACTGTATCAAACTAACAATAAGTCAGAAATGGAGAAAAAACCTAGACTCAACCGGTATTGGGGATGTCATCATTCAGCATTCCCATAGCCTTTGCATCTTTATGTGGTTACACATTAAATTCAGCTGTTTGTATTGAAACAGTGTCGGGGGCACGGGTGGCCCACAGCGCTTCGCTGTGCAGAGTTGCGTCCCTTTGGCACGCCAGAAACCTATGATTATTGGTTCGCCCCGATGTTTCTAGGGTTGTCACCACCATACCTGTGCTCGTGGGTTTCACCGAAGTGGTAAACGTCTTAGACCTGAATCACTAAAAGCGGGGTTAAACCCAAGTCGCTCAATCTGGTGTCATCTTATGGGCATCGCAAATACCCTGAGCATCAAGAAGAGGATGGACAAGCATTTGTTTTGTCATTATGTAACCATTGGTAACCACAATCACAGAAGTCTTCTATATGGTGTATGTTGTACACACGAGGGGTAGTGACAACAAGGAATGGAGATTCACACGTTACAATATTTTTAAAGTTCATTATTCTTTCAGTTAAGTAATCTCCACATTAAAAGAGAGTCTGACTAAATGTAACTTTAATCTCAATTGTAGTTTCTGGAGTTAACCTGTAGTGGGTCACTCAAGGGAAAACACTTGTCCGTCATATTGGCAAATTTCATATGTAACGAAGATAAATCTCCATGTCTAATTTTGTCTATGGTTTTGCCATAAACATTTACACCTAAAGGAAACACTTAAGGAGTAGTTAAGTCAAATAAACAGTCAGTTTAAATGGTAATGTTTTATTGCAATGAGCAAGACTAAAGGAACTCGACATTTCTAGGCTTGATGTTTCTTGACATTTGACATTTTGATATTCAATATTTTTAGAAGTTATCGATTAGATTAAACACAATGAAACAAGGCCAATCTCTCTCTATATAAATCTGTCTCACGAAGGTACTTGATCTATGTACATGCATGATGGCAAGGATGAATAATGTTGACATGACAATCGTGCTCCATGAGAATGTAATTCATGCCAAGCACGTGGATTATCTCGACTCTCGAGTATCTTAATATTTGTATGTTTGTTTGTTTGTTGTTTAACGCCGCACTCAGCAATAGTCCAGCTATATGACGGCGGTCTGTAAAAAAATCGAGTCTGGACCAGACAATCCAGTGATTGACATCATGAACATCGATCCATGCAATTGGGATCGATGACATGTATCAACCAAGTCAGCGGGCCTGTAATGGGGGTTGGGGGTGGGGGTGGGGGTGGGGGGGATGGGGTGGGGAGCACAGATGACCCAATCATGTACATAAATCCGTTTCTTATATGCGCAAGAAACCTATGTTCGTGGGTTAGCGCCGCTGGGCTTCACCTGTGCTAGTGAATTTCAAGAAAGTACTACATATCTGAGAAATGCATGGTCGAAACGGGCCTTTCCTCCAACATCAAGGAACACGAGCCTTCTACCTTTACTGCGTTCTTTCGTTTACATGCTATAAATACAGATCATATGACAGTCTGTTCTGCAATAGCAAAAAGTCACTACTGATTCATAATATTTAACCATGTAATCGACTTGTTCCTTAGTTTCTAGTCTCAACACAAGGTCAATATGACAGTCAACATCGCCGGGATAATATCCGTCATCATCTTCTACCTCGTCATCATCGTCGTAGGCGTCGTTGCTGGGAGGGTGAAAAAAACCACGACAATCGTTGGGATCTTATTGGCTGATCGAAACATGGGTGCTGTCCTATCTTTCTTCACGCTAACAGGTAGAAACCATTGACACTGCAAGGATTGAGGGAAGCCATGCCACCCTAGTTTGAGGTCTTTTCTCTGGGTGGTAGTCCTCTTGTAGGACAAGCTCGGTTAAGACCCCTTTATATATACTGAACCAAATTAAAAACTTCACAATCCTAAAATTTTAACATTTTGACCAGTTATCATTGTGGGCCCTTATTGTGTATTTAAACAGTAATGGCCACGTATTGTCTTCAGATAACACCCGTTTTTGTGCAGGTGAATCGATCAAAATCATGTGCACAGCACCATAGTGGCAAAAGTGGTTTTTACACGTGCAACTGGTCACGTGGCCATAATACCGCACGTGTTTTCAGCCATACTTGTTAGCAGTCATTAACAAAAAAAGAAAACCACAAGAAAACAAAAGTCTTTACGGCCATTTGTCATGCAACGCCTTTCAAATGTGCAACGTGAACGTGCCATCGGCATATTGCAGACGGGAACGTCCGTAGCTGAAGTCGCAAGGACGATGGGTTGTAGTCGACGGACTATTTATTTACAGACGCGTCTACAGCAAACGGGTACCACCGCTGATCGCCCTCGGCCAGGTCGACCACATGTGACGTCACATGCAGAGGATCGTCAGATGGTCTGATATCACCTCCGTAACCGATTTTTGACGGCTACATCAACCAGAAATAAACTGTTTAGGGGTAGACTGAGTACGCAAACTGTTCGAAACCGTCTGAGAACTGCTCACCTTCAAGCACGACGGCCATACTGCGGGCCGATTCTGACTCAATTACACAGACGTCAACGTCAATTGTGGGCACAGCGACACTTACGATGGACTCAGAGGAATTGGAATCAAGTCGTCTTCAGTGATGAATCCCGATTTAATCTTCGATTTGCTGATGTTAGGGCGAGGATGTGGAGGCGCCGGCATGAACGTTACGCCCAGTGTTGTGTACAGGAAGTTGACAGATTTCGAGGCGGAAGTGTCATGGTGTGGGGTGCTTTCTGTGGCAATGCACGTTCCAGGCTTCTTGTCATCCGTGGCAACCTCAACGCTGCTGCTTACCGCGACCAGGTACTGGAACCAGAACTTCTGCCTTTTATGGCAGCACATGGACCCGGTTTGATCTTCCAACACGACAATGCCAGACCCCACACAGCAATTTTGACAAGGAATTTCCTTCAGAATGCGGGAATCAACGTCATTGACTGGCCGTCAAGGTCTCCCGACCTTAATCCCATCGAACACGTCGGGGATGCTCTTGGCAGAAGTCTGCGTACTCTCCAGAACCAACCACAGAAGTTGCAAGATCTTGGCACCATTTTGCAGCAACAATGTCTTCCCAATCATGTGTTCACAAGCATCACACGGTCCATGCGGAGGCGTTGTGTAGCAGTTGTCAACGCACATGGTGGCCATACACGCTACTGAACTTGTATGCCATCAGATTCTCGTGCTTGGGTCTTATGATTTAAACTGTTGATGTTATTACCGAATACCGTAGGTGCTTGGAACAACTTACGGTTACCACCGTTAATTAAAAGCCTTCTTTGGACATTAATGATTAAAAATTACCTTCTCTGATACATTATTCCGTAGTATATCATATATGGGATTACTTTTAAAAATGTGAAGTTTTTAACTCAGTATATATATTAGATATATATTTAAAATACATGCACATATGATTGACAACTTGCCTTGCCTTTCCTAAACGTGGAAGTTCTCATGTTTAGCATGATTAAATTGTGAAATATAGCTAAAATGAGCGAAAAAGGCTTAAGTTTTGAGCATGAAGAGAAAATCTTAGTATAACTGAGTCCATGATCCTAGGCCACTTGTTGAATGACAATCAGGCCCATCTGATGGTACTGATGACACATGAGCTTCCCAACGTCAAAGTTATTATACTCTCTCCTGAACAGGCAAAGCATCCCCAAATAACATTTAATTCACAAACTGTCCAATCTCAACCAACTTAAATAAATAAAAATATAAACATTTAGGACTTTAGGAGTGTGGTAATATCTTCAAATCAACAAGCTCAGTTAAATAAAGCCTAACCACCATGGACAACAATGTGGTAAAGAGTAAGCACATGTTGAAACTGTAAAACCCATTTTCGTTCAGGAAGTTCAAACACAATTTGATTACTTTTCAGAAATATGTTTTTGCTATCAAAGACTAGTGCCTTCTGAGAATCTGAGAAGCGAATTAACCTGTATTGCCTGACTGATGCCATATTTCCCGAGATGTGGCTCTAACATATTATCGAGTTTTAAAAATAATGCAATAGGTTCAGTTTTATTCTTTTATGTTTCTTGTTCTAGCCACATGGGTCGGAGGCGGCTTCATCAATGGGACTGCAGAAATTGTTGCCAACAGAGGATTTGCTTGGATGCAGGCCCCTATTGGCTACTCACTGTCTCTCATCATTGGTAAATTCTTGTCATTTTACTCATCAGCCTATTCACAAGGTGATGTGAAGTGGGTTTTAACGTCGCGTCTAAGATTATTGCACTTATAAAGCGACGTGCATGCATGCATGCATGTGTGTGTGTGTGTACTGCTTGTACAAGTCCGGACTGATGCCGATTTATAGTGCTAGCTCACTGAGATACCAAGCTTTTCGGGGTTGTTTGCACTCAAAATTAAACCATGGTAGAAAGAGGTAAAAGGTATTAGTTTGTATTTACTACTCTGTCATGATTTTTTCTGGTAAGAGGGCACGGGTGGCCCAGTCGACGTCGTCTAGGTGCCGTGATTTACTGTGCTGTGCTGAGTTGCGTCGCCAGAAACCTAAGATTGTGGGTTCGAATCCCGGTTCGCGCCAATTATGTTTCTAGGTTTGCCAGCACCATACCCGTGCTCGTAGGTTTTTTAACCGAAGTGGTAAACGTCTGAGACCTGCATCACTTCGGGCTTTCCTCCCACATAAAGCTGACACACCGCGATATAACTGGAATACTGTTAAAAGCGGCACTAAACCAAACTCACTCACTCACTCTTCAAGGATATCACACCTTGCGACCTTCTGACATCAGATTGGCTCAATGACGGACAATGCCTCTGCATGTCTCTGATTTGGGCACATAGACAACAATCTCAGTATTTGGAAAACAACGAGTGACATTTTTAAAGTTACCACAAATTCCTTCAACCAAAGGGATGATCTTGAGTGGCAGTCCACCAACACAGCCAGTAATCTTGGCCATGAGTCTGTATTTGTCCTAAATAATCATCATCAGAAGATGAAACTGTCTCTGTGTCAGTCTGACGTCTCTTATTTTGTAACGAGGACCGGTGAGCCATAATAAAAGAAAAAGGCTTCAGCATAATAAAAGCGACAAAACCCTTTACATAGCCACAAGAGACCATCACCAAACAGCAGACCTGGAACTACAGTAATGGTAGAAGCGGGCGTTAATGACATTGTGTGTGTGTGTGTGTGTGTGTGTGTGTGTGTGTGTGTGTGTGTGTGTGTGTGTGTGTGTGTGTGTTTTCCACAAGTGCGTTGTATTCGCGTGGTAATGAAAACCAGTTTGTGTGAAAACCAACAATATGCACATTGTGAAACCATTTATTGATACTGACACCAATCTCCGAATCATCTTCTTCTCGCCTCTGTTTTGAGTGGTATACATTTTTTGAAATTCCCATAACCTGAATGCCAATCCTGGGAGCTATGATCCAGTATAACTTTGATGTAGGTGGTATTCTCTTTTGTCCTCGTCTACGTCGCGACAACTGCATCACAATGTTTGACCCCTTCCAAGAGCGATACGGCAGGCTCATGGGTGCTCTCATGTGCATACCGCAATTTATTGGAGATCTCTTCTGGACAGCCGCGATTTTGTCCGCACTCGGTAAGTGTTTCGTCATTGCTTTGCTATTACATTCATAACAATTTCCCGATTATAATGTTGTAAATGTATTTATATCATTATTTTGTGTGATCAGCAACGTCACTAACACAATGTGCTCTAAACAACTATCGTCAGTGGGCAGTTTCCCCAGCCTACAGTTCGATTCATAAGGATCCCAATAGACTTCTCGTGCTTCAGGTTCCAGTGTGGCTCTCATCCTTGGCCTGAATGAAACGCTGTCCATCATTATTTCTGCCATCATCAGCATATGTTACACCTTTGTGGGAGGCATATGGTCTGTCGCCTACACAGACATTGTGCAGCTGATCTGCTTAACTGTAGGACTGGTAAGACCCACTGAGTCATTACATCCATTTCGGTAATAGACTGTTATTGCTGACCTATCCTTAATGCTGACCTATGCGTAATACATTGATGTCCACATATAGACCAACATACTGATGCAGGTTGATCTTCCTGTAGATGTATTCAGTACATCAATTTAATAGCACAGAAAAGGTTACAGATGAGAAACGTGAAATCTATACTGCTTGTGTCAAGTTTTTCAAATACACACTCACAAATTTATAACAAATATGTTTGGGATGACTATCTGAGTGACGTGTATCGTGCAAAGTTTCTTACACGCATATACGTATTATATATTTTGTGCTAAAATTATTTTAATTTTTAAGTTTAGACGACATTTTGAAGTCCAAACGTTTTTTACGGGACTGTAATCTTGAAATGACGAACTACTTCCACATTCCCAGGGAAACCCACGGGAATTCTCTAGCACGAATAAGTACAGAAGTTTTGTTTCTGTTCATGCAGACCCTTTAATATATAACGTGTTAGCCTACTTTGGGAAATGTCAGAGAGTTTCACTGCATGCCGGTTTGCGAATATCCTCGCTACGACCCATCGTAGTGACCACAACCAAAAGATGTACATCCAAACTATCGACTCGATCCGTCCGTGTCTAGCATGCCTAAACTGATAGTGTCAGGCTGGCAGTGTACAGCAATTGTCTCTTTGACCCATCTTTATGAACACCTTTCAATGATCGTCCAACTGATCAATGGTGACTAACACTTGTAATCGCCACAAGTTATCGACTATGCAATAACTACACTCGCTTACTAGATCGAAAACATGTTTAAACAAAAAAAGACTGACATTCAAGAAAAAGGTCATTGAGCACGCCAGAAACTTAAAATCGTTGATTCGAGTCCCGGTTCGCCCCGATGATGTTCCAAGGTTTATCAGCACCGTACCCGTGTTCGTGGTTTTCACCAAAGTGCTTTCCTCCCTAGTAAGCTGACACTCCGTGATGTAGCCGAAATGCTGTTAAATGCGACATTAACACAACTCACTCTCTCATTGAAAAGTAGCAAAACATTTTGACATTGGCAAATTCATGAGGAATCACAGAACTTATAGACCAGAAATAGGCACTAGCTTTGATTTAGTATCATGAAAACTGAAGACGTTTCATGTTACAGGTACCTTTGTGTCAGAGTGAGTGAGTGAGTTTGGTTTCACGCCGCTTTTAGCAATATCCCAGCAATATCACGGCACTTTGTGTCAGAGCGATGATGGTGTGCCTAATATGTTGGCGAATATTGCTTAACGTTACATCAGCTATTAGTGGTCAGGGAAACTAACTGTTGACATAACATTTTGTCTTTCCTTAGGTGCTAGCAGCCCCTTTCATTGCGACCAACCATGCTGTTGACTTACAAAGGATCCAGGGAACGTGGTTAGGGGAAGTAACACTGCAACAGTCAGGATACTTTCTCGACAAATATGGCCTTCTAATATTTGGGGGAACAACGTGGCAGGTAGGACTTAGTAAAGGGCAGGCAGCTTACACAGTCGCGTCTGGATAACCTGGGTCATCGGTCAAAACCGAGTCCCAGAAAATGATTATGCAAAGGCGGCATCCATACTGTGATTCCAAGATGGCGGACACGGCAGCTTACTATTACCTAGCTCATTTCCAAGATGGAAAGTTGTCAGCTAGCACTACCTGAAAGTTCTATTTCATGTGTTTGACATGTTTGCTTTGAAAGAGGACAAAGGTCTAGAAGACGATGAATGTGCAGTAAACGAATGTGGTGTTTCTTTTAATGTGGAGGTAGGCATGATCTTACTTGCATTTTAGTAATTCTGTAATTCCATTCCGCCATTCTCGGAAGAAACACGGATACGAGATAGTATAGTGGTATCTTATTAGTAAGGTTCTGTATGTGGATAACTGTACCAAGTCCGTCATTTGGAACCACATAATGGGAGACATCATTGTGTAGTCATTGCAGGGGTTTGGTTTTGACACATGGCTTTTGTTGAAGAGACAAACGAAACAAAAAATTCAAGCGCATTCAAAACACATGTCATGGTGAAAGTTGGCCTTTCTCTTTGGTCATTGATGAAGTTTCCACTAAAAGTAGTCAAAGCCAGCTATTGTTGGTACAAGAGGGCTAGATGTATATACAGGCTCCATTCATAAAATCTAAGGTTCAGATTCCCATTGGTCAAATGTGAAGCTGTTTGCATACCTGCACCACTCAGATCTACCTTCGTTTGATATAAGGCTTTGAATGCAAACTCCTTGCAGAGTTCTATTGTTAAATAGAAGACTTGTTACATAAACACTAGGTGCATGTGGAATGTTACCTGTGTTATGGCTGTAAATGTTCTATTCTATTGGACAATATTGACCGTTAATGCCTTTACCTCATGTTTCTACACTGCAAGACCTTGTAAAGCCGTATGTCTTTTGGGACAATGCTCGAATACGTTTCAGGGAGGAAAACAGAGTAACACAGGACCATGCGAAGAAGAGTGGAAGTATTATAATCTAATATTTTGACGTTGATTTCGTGTTTTGCACAGGAGATATATCAACGAACTTTGGCCTGCCGTACAACAAGACAATCTTTGGCATCATCAGTTGTTGCAGGCATCATGTGTCTTCTTCTTAGCATACCACCTGCTATCATTGGCTTCGCAGGATCAGCTGCAGGTACCATGTTTTGATATTTGTTATGTGTATTATCCCCCGCCACGAAGTGGAAGGGGGATATAGAAAAGGGTTCTGTCCGTCCGTCCTTCCGTAAAATTTCGTTTCCGGAGCAGAACTGAAATCCTTGAGAGATATCTAACCAAACTTGGCACGAGTGGTGAACTGGTGCCTTTAGATAGTTTTGGATTTTTCGAGTTTCCATTGCAACGATACTGAAAATGGCAGTTGAGCTCGTTTCCGGGGCAGATCGTGAAAACTTTACAATAAGTCTTGCCCACAACTGGACATGTCATATTGGCGAGTGATATGAGTATTTCATGCTTGTTATTATTGTTATTAGCAGAATTTTGATTGTCCGTTTTCACCACCATCCAAGATAAAATTCCCGGGGTAACACAAATATCTGCTTCGGGCGTATGCATTAAATGTTTGCTAAAGTCGAACAATATATGTATAGGGGGCATATTCGAGTACAACTGTTAATGTTTTACAATTGTCACCAGGCAGAATGTTTTCAATTCCACATACGCCTCACTTATATAGTTTATCACTCAGATTGGAATCAGACTGGTTACACGGGTGAAATTCCAATTCCCGAGGAACACATGCACTTTATCCTGCCCATGGCGCTGCAGTATCTCTGTCCCGTTGCTGTATCCATCGTGGGACTGGGCGCAGTCTCAGCAGCCGTCATGTCATCCACAGACTCTAGCACACTCTCCACAGCTTCAGTCTTTACCAAGAACATTTACAGCAGCATCATCAGAACAAACGTGAGCACCACCGTCTACAGTGAATTGTGTCGAACAAGGTTTAAACTGTCTCTCCTGACACATTTGACAAGGTGAGGTGAGGTGAAATGGGGTTTAACGTCGCGTCCAAGATTATTGCACTTATATAGCGACGTGCATGTACGTGTTTGTGTGTTTGTGTGGCTGCTTGTACTAGTCCGGACTGATGCCGATTTATAGTGCTAGCTCACTGAGATACCATGCCGCAGTTTTAACATGAATACCCCACTCAGACACAGTACACTCCGACTCCGAGCCGACCAGTTCTTGTTTTAGCCCCTTAATGCCGAGCGCCAGACAGGGTAACATTAAGTACCATCTTTTAACGTCTTTTGGTATGACCCCGTTTGGTATGATAAACCCCGGACCTTCCGCTCTCCGGGCGGACGCTCTACCACTAGACCACGGAGGCGGTCCATTTGACAAGGTCAACAAAGCCCTGTTCTGTTTTACAAACGCATCCCTACTCATCTGCTTTCCCTCTGTTGCAGGCCTCGGATCGGGAAATGGTGGTTGTGATGAGAGTGACTGTCATTGTTGCTGGCGCACTTGCTGCCACCATAGCCATCTTCGTAAAGAGTGTGTATGAACTTTTCACACTTTGCTCTGACCTGATGTACGTGATTCTCTTCCCACAGTTCATCTGCGTTCTCTTCGTAAGCAGCTGCAATACGTACGGCTCCTTTGTAGGGTTTGTGGTGGCCTTCATCCTGAGAGTATGTAGTGGAGTAAAGCTGTTCCACTTCCCTGCTGTCATACGCTATCCCTTCTACAACCACACTGATGGCCAGTTATTTCCGTTCCGCACGTTCATTGCTGTTTTGGAATTCATCTTAATAGTACTGGTGTCAGCAGGAGCCAAACAATTGTTTACTAAAGGGTGGATTTCAATTAAATATGATATTTTTAAATGTTTTGCAACCCCTAGGCATCCACCCAACGCCTCCCCTTCTAACCTAGAGGCTGTAGATATGATACCCAGGTTTAGTCGACCGAAGGGAAATCTGGATCAAAATCATCGCACTGACAACACAGGTGCTCGAGTGTTGTCGGAAAATGTATAACATGATAAAATTTTGTGTCTGCGTATGTGCACATATTTAGTATATTAACCATACCTTTGTATAAGTCTAACATCGGACAGGTGAGCAGCTGACGTTAATAATATTATTATTTATAGATTTAAATAATAAAATGCAGCAGAGAGGGTTTGGGTGATCCTGGCACAGTCAGGCTGGTTAGGCTCGTCATCAGCTTAGGGTCCTTGCCCCCTCAACACGCAGCCAAGACAGCGAATGGGACTTCTATGAGGAAGCGCTGCCTAGTCAAACCTACTCAGAATTTTTCGGAGAATGTGAAGACTCCCCAATACTGCAGCCTTGTGCATTACCCAGATTGTCAGATTGGCTGTATTCCTGGTAACAAACCCGGGTACTCTCCCAATGTCAGTCAACAAATTGGGAGATACCAAACCTAAGGCACAAAGAACAATTGGGAGTCGGACAACTTGGTACTTGAGATGCAATCGTGACATTTCGAAAGCGAGGTCTGCACATCTGCCATGTTTTTCCTCAATCTAATCTTGTCAATCACATTAGTGTCAAAAGGGACAATATATTATGATTTCTTTGGATTTATCAAAAAGCACAAGATCAGGTTTGTTGATCTATTCCAAAGAATTTTGTATTTATCATTTACCATGACGCCCTCTACATATTCATGCAGTAGTAGTAGTAGTAGTGGTAGCAGTAGTAGTAGTAGCAGTAGTAGTAGTAGTAGTACTGACTGACTGACTGACTGAGTATGGTTTTACGCCGCTTTTAGCAATATTCCAGCAATATCACGGCGGGGGACACCAGAAATGGGCTTCACACATTGTACCCATGTCGGAAATCGAACCCAGGTCTTCGGCGTGACGAGCGAACGCTTTAACCACTAGTCTAGTAGTAGTAGTAGTAGTAGTAGTTTTTAAATTCTTCTTCACATGCAATTAACATATATACGCGTTTATATCGATCTGTAGTTCTAAATAGTTTCTACACTGGTGTTTTAAACAGCTCCATAACTTGTGGCACAGACACAGTGATTTATGCCTGTTCGGGGTATCCCCGCGGCTAGGGAGTTGGTTGACATCATCTTTTGTAAGACTGCTACCCACATTGGCTGCTGAAAATGTCTACTTTCGGATTTCGGATTCGAAAGGAGACGCTTTCGTGTAACAGGTTAGAGCATAAAACTGTCACTATTAAATTTTGTTTGATAAACCCTTGTCTGTTGTTCCTTCTCACAATTGTCAGCACAATAATATTTGCTATCAAACTCATTGTAAGAAACTTTTCACCGGTCGATAATTGATGTAATTGCGCCATCTTGACTGACAGGAATGACTGAACGATGTTACCAAGGACACGTTAGATCTCGGAGATGTAAGTTGAACATCGTCATGACGTCGGCTTATTATGACGGGTTCAATCCCAAAACGCAGAAGTCCCATAACTTTGAACTCTCAGAACGAAAACCAGAAATTGATTTCCATTACATAATGCATGCCGGTCACAACTAAAAAACGAATGGACCATTCAAATATCTGGATACACACTGAAGTTTAAATTTCTTGGATTTAGGATAAATGTTTAAAAATCAATGGGTCGTTATGTTTTGACACCAAAAACTAGAGTAGTAATTGTAATTGTTTTATTCACAAAAAGTGTTAGGCCGTAGGCCTATTACACAGAACTATTTACAGAGAGAGGGAGAAAAAAGAATTACCACTATTTTACATATATATCCATATCCATACACATTCATACACATACGCATGCATATATACAAATAAATATTTAGACTGTATGTAATGAAGCTCTGTATGTATTCAGCTCTGAAATCACTATAAGCATTGCATATAAGCACAAAATGATATTCGTCCTCAATAAAATTCTGGTTACAAATCAAACACAGTCTCTGTTTTCTAATTTCCTTAATATATCGACCGGTCTCGATTCGCAGCCGATGGGAGGAGCATCTCAACTCAGCAAGTGCAGCTCTGAATTTTGAAACATTTACTACCTTGATATAGCTTTCTAAGCCAAATGAAACTTTGTAAAGAGAGTAACTTTGGGATTTAGTGCTAGATGAAACAGCTGCATGCATATCTTGCTCAGACGAGGCTGTTAAACGATTTATGGAAGAACTAGAGCAGATGAAGTCAGATAAGATGGCTTATTCCTCAACCCATCTCTCAGGTTATCTTTTTATCCCCCGCCACGAAGTGGGGCGGGGGATACAGGAACGGAGTTCGTCCGTCCGTCCGACTGTCCGTCCGTCCGCTTCTCAATGTTGACAAATTTTCTCAAACACTATTCAAGTTAGAGAAATGAAATTTTACACACTGATGTTACTGGTCACGATCACAAAAGAGTTCGAAATTGGTGTGGTACATTCATTTCAGTTATGGCCCTTGCTTCATGCTGATGTGACTATTCAATATCATCTTTATTGCAAAATGGCAGGCATTAGGAGAGTTGAATATGGTAAAGGTAGGTCGACATGTCCTGTAGCGGCAAGTGTACCAAAGTCAGGGACTAACTCAGAAACGCGTCGAGCACAACCACATTTCTACTAATGACACAAATGTCGGGTATGTCTCTTCCACTTCTCCCAGGCAATATGGAGGGCGACATGAGGACGACCTAGTTGTTTCCTACAAAGAGACTCCTGACGTCCCTCGATGGATCCGAAGAGTTGCCGTACTTCTCCTAATTCCCATCCTGGAAGTCCAAGATGCCTGGTTACATGCCATGAACTACTCATGAACTTCACCGAGATGAACGATTACATCGTCTCTACATGGGTCGAAGATGAGCGCCGCTTTCAACTGAAATATCACTCCACTGTTGGGCCCAGAAAAAATAACAACCTAGACAGCCTCAACAAGTCGATCCAACACCGCCAACTAAACATTTTTAGATCACCTGAGAAGGCAAAATTGATGCAAATCAACTTTCAAGCTGCCCCACCACCCAGAAAGGCGTTCTGTGTTTTTTGGTAGTTCTGGGGGGATACCTTTTGACGTAACTCAGAAAGTGTACTTTATCGCTGGTATAACGTCTTGTCGGCGCCTGCAATCTCTCAGCGAAGCATTCTAGAATTCTCAATAAAATGTCTTTACCTTGAATAGACTTGGTCCAGCGATGATCCATCTTTGTTATCCCTGCGTCACAGAAGTCTTCATCTTGGGCCTCCAGAAGGTCCCAACTGCGCGAATTATCGTTGCTGGTAAAAACTCTACCATATTCGATATAACGTTCACCTTTGTGACATGGAATCTTAGAGTCAGACCGTGACGAACGAAAGACGAGACCCCCATCTTGACGTTCATGTACGTTTAGCTGTTTTTATGGAAGAATTTTCTAAAACCAACAAATGACTTCAAAAAGAAGCCCGGGAAATATTATAGCTGGCTTCGAGAAGGTAACAAGCTTAAGTTTAACGTGAGTGAGTGAGTGAGTGAGTGAGTGAGTGAGTGAGTGAGTGGGTGGGCTATGAGTGAGTGAGTGAGTGAGTGAGTGAGTGAGTGAGTGAGTGAGTGTGAGTGAGTGAGGTTTTACGATGCTTTGAACAGTATTCAATTTATGTCACAGTGTGTCAGCATAAAATGGGAGGAAAGCCCGAAGTGATGCAGGTCTCAGACGTTTACCATGTTGGTGAAACCCACTTGCCAGACATGCCAGACATAAGAGGTGTCACGTCAGACCGAATGTGGTGTTTAGCACGGAAAGACCAGCAACGTTAAAGACATTTTACAATCTGAAATTCGTCGTATTGAGAATAAATATAGATATAGATATATTACAATTGCCAAGTGATCGGACGGCGATTCTGACGATGACAGGCGTATCACGAGGGCCGATTACAAAACTATATATAAAGATGAAGATCAAGAGTTCACGTTCCACACGTGCACAGCCTATTACAAAGTGAATGCACCGTTTTTGAATCCAGAAAACAGTTTTTGGAGTATGCAGAAACGTCGGTGACTTCTGATAGAATCCCGACCGCACTAGGCAAATAGATAAGACGGAAATCAGGAAGCAAGAAGAGGTCGAATCGCCCTCAGTTACGCTCTTAAGTAGGTACAACCAGCCTTACAGAAAATGCTGCCCCAAAGCCTCTGGAATAAGTACCTTCCTTCAGCAACTGTAACAAAAGGCCCCTGAAGAAGGATAGTGATATTACTGAAACACTGGACCTATATATATAAATAGACATGGTACGTCACTCGCCATCTTGGCCGAAGTTGAAATCGGCTGTATCGTTTAAATTAAATTTAAATGTATGCATGTCATGTTCACAATACCTCCCCCACCCCCTCCACATACGACCTGCATGCCACAAACCATTTTGTGCAATGTATTACCTATATCGGGTGATATTATCGAAATATTGGCTCAGTCGCGGCTGTGGGTCACGGAAGTAAAGACAAATCTCCGCACTCAATGACCACTATCCTGCTTCCGGGGTCTGTGACTGTAACCTCAGCAGGAGACAAGACGATTCCACCATGATCAACCAAGGGAGGTCACTCTAAATCATAGTCACTGCCAAATGTCACATAATACCAGCGCGTCAATCAATGTTTTGCTTCAGACAACTATAATAGTAACAATACATAAGAGCAAAGTGCTGCCCCATATACTTATATATATGAAATCTGTCCTCCAGTCTTTTTACATCGCAGAAGATTTCCAGACATGTTTGTTAAGGAGGGACAAATAACAAAAAATATTTTCTTACCAGAGATCTGAATTGCTACAAATAAAGGACTGACAATCCTTGGTTTATATCACAAACAACAACCACACCCTCTCTGACCAAAAGACAGAATTGCCTTATACATATACACAATTGACTACAGATGATTTGTTGTTCTATCCGGCATGCTCCGTGGATTAGAAGAAAAGGAAATCTTGTGGATGTGGACAATGATATAATGTTATGTGGCAGTGTATATATAAAGTGAACGGCAAAAGAAAATTTGCACCAGATTGAAGTGACTGTGTTAATACACAAAACAAAAGTTTGAGGTAAAGTATATTTAATAAACCTACAATTCCACAAAGTACTGAACAACTCAAACTTGACATTTTGTGGTTAAATATTGTACACCAGACAAACAGATCAGTTGTCCAGATTTTCACTACAATTCATTCAATCACGGAAAGTGTTCACAAACACAAAATGTGTCACTTTAATGCCGAATGTGGCCACCTCGTGCCTCCATACATGCACAGACTCTGCTTCAGACGGAAAACGCCAAACGTCTGATGAGATCACGTGGCAAGCGATTCCATTAATCTTGTAAAGCTTGTTTTAACTCTTGCTTGTTGGCGGGAGGGTGTGGTCGGACTCTAACTCGCTTGTCCTAGATGTCCCAGAGTTGTTCTGTAGGTGATAAGTCAGGAGAACATGCCGGCCACGGTAAGACGTTGACGTTGTTGTTGTCAAGGAAGCCCACTATGATACGATCTGTGTGGGGCCTGGCGTGTTGGTACAGAACACCTGGGGTTGTTGCTGGAGGTAGGGCAGCACTATTTGACGTGGATGTCATCTCCGCACATTGAGGTTTCTATTGATGACGACGGAGGGCGTTGTCTGGTTTCCACAAATTCCAACCCACACCATAACGCCACCTCCATTGTAAGGAACGACTTGTTGAACGGTAAATACGCTTCTGTCATCAACTCTAAAGAAACAGAACCTGCTTTCGTTCGTAAAGACCATGTGTTGCCAATTCCGACGCTGCCACCGTCGCACTGCATTAGCCCATCGTATTCGTCTCCGTCGGTTGTGGTGGACACTGTGTTCAGAATAGGTGTTTACAAGATAATGGGCATTGGCTGAGAGAAAAGGCGACGACGAATTCGACATGGCTGTTAAGCTGGTCTTTGATATAGTTATATCCCAAGTTATATCTTCTCTTGGGGCAAAGTGGGTATTTCATCGACACATGCTGGCCTAATCGTCTAAGGCTGAGTTGAGTCCCTTATGACTTGCCAGAAACCTATAATTGTGGGTTCGAATCCCATTTCGCCCCGAATATGTTTCTAGGTTTGTCAGCACCATACCCATGCTCGTTGGTTTCACCGAAGTAGTAAACGTCTTAGACCTACATCACTTTCCTCCAACATTAAGCTAACACGCCGTGATACGACTGGAATACTGTTAAAAAATGGTGTTAAACCCAACTCACTCACTCACTCACTCACTCACCCATACAAACTTTGCTCGCGTTATAAAGGAGGCATTTGCTGATGATTAATTTAAACACCATCGTTGGCCCTTGTAATAGTGGGTGAGTGATTTGGTTTACACGATCCGATATAGCGCTGATAAACACAATCAGGGCGAAACTTGGATTCGAACCTACGATCATAGGTGTCCGACAGGACGAAGGAACCCATCTCCACACAGCTAATCGGCGCTGCCTTAGAGGAGTACGTTCCACCCCCAAAATCCCCTCCCCCTCGCAACCCCAATCCGTGATTTTAATAACAATGTTCAGGCTCAAAGCTGATAAGCATCAGGTGTCAATACATTACCGTCGGTTTCCTGGATCAGTAAGAACGTCATTGTGTCCGGATATTTCGGTTATAAACACTGGTTTAAGAGGCGTCGTAAAATCCCAGTGATTGTCCGCAAATTACGCTGAACTGAAGCCCATAACAGTTTGCTGATGTGACATTCAGTTTCTGAAATGAAGATTTATGAAACTGTCTCTCAATAAAGATGAGCCCAGAAAATCTCCTTATTTTATTAAACTGAAGAAATCTGGACTTGCTTGGCGTTTTTTGGATATTTTTGTTTCAGGGTCTGTCAATCAGAGACCAGCCAATCGGTTTCAGGAATATGGTACAGGCTACAATTGACAATAAAACTCGGAACTTTCAATATGAACTAATTCACAGAATTATTACTACAAATTAATTTTTACACAAAATAGGCAGGCGTGATGACATCTACTTTCTCGACATATATATATCAACATCCATAAATTCTCTTCCTTATGTGTACTTCTAAATGCCATGGATAAAAAATATATGAGAAACCTTATTTGTCCAAACACTGTAGACATACTTTGAGAGATATTAAAAAGATGAAACTTGGCAAAACTGATCATCAAGGTTGAAATTAAAGTGTCAAATGTTCTTAAAGGGAAACACAACACTAGTCTCTGAGAAAATGCCATCACAAGTCAGTATCTCGTGTGTCCGCGATTGGCATTGATGACTGCCGTGCAACGCCGATACATTGAATGAATGAGGTGGTTGATGAAGGCCATAGGCACTTGAGCCCACACTGTGAGGAACGCCTGACGCAGTTCAGCTGCAGTTGTCGGCCTTGGTCGGACGTCATTCAGCCGTCTTTGAATCTTGTTCCACAGGTGCTCAATTGGATTTAAATCGGGACTGAGGACTGGCCACTTCTGCTGGAGTGAGAATCTTGTTGCTCTCGCAGTGTGGGCACGGGCGTTATCATGCTGAAACGGCGACGTGCCAAATGAGGTATGGCGTGTGGTCTCAAGACTTGATCAATGTACCGACCTGCTGTGACACCATTGCCTCTCCCTGGACCGATGTTCTGGAAGACCAATTCGACACCGCACCATGATGCTCGGACCATCCCACGAGTCTCTTTCAACAACACAAGCATCTGGATAACGTTCCCCACGGCGTCGCCAGACTCTCTGCCATCTGCTGTTGAGATACAGTAACGGCTCTCGTCTGAGAAGAGGATTCTTCTCCACTGCTGGTGG